CATGAATATGACAATTAGAAGTGTGACATAAAGACTTTTCAATAGAAATTTTCATAGGAATATACTAATCCTAAGATCTTTAATTTCATTTACTAGGAAAGTAGGATTAGTGTTTGTTAGAGATATGAGATATCCAAAAAAATATATGCGATATATTTTCCGTAAATATCATTAAGTGAATAATATATTTAGGTTTATTTTACGTTAAGATATTATTTAGAGAATATATCCTTAAGATTTATGATTAGGCTAGTAAATCTTTGGGAAGATTGTTTTCTATCTTATAAACTTAGGTTTTGTATAAATACTATACCTAATGATCAATAATAAACAAGTCATTTCATTCTCTCTTTCTATCTCATATCTCTAATAATGTTTAATAAAGAATTTTCTAGAGTATGTAGAGTTTGTTGTAGACGGTATACATTATTTTGACGTGTTCTACATTGACTTTTATGTGCGTATATAATCACTTCTATTGCCATTAGGACGATTGCTTTTAACCATAGATATATAGGAAAATTCTATAATGGTCACCTTAAACTGATAATCACTATTCTTAATTCTTATTGGCTAATTTTTCCTTTTTTTTTTTGGATTTGGTCAAACCTATTTTTGGATTTTTTCTTTTTTAATTGATTTTCTTATTTTCGAAAATTAATATTTTATTTATCAAAAATCTTTTAATTTCATAATTATTTTTACTAATATCAATTTTTGATAAAAAAATAAAAAATAAAGATTGAATTAACAAAATTAAAAAATAAATATCGTTCTTCATTGTTCTAATCTTCTTCAATGTTATTCTTCCATAGATGAAAATAACTACCAATATCATAATCTTTATCCCCTAAAGGCACTCACGCATCGACGAAGATTGCAAATATGCATCGATCTACATAGTATATATGAAATTTGAGTTCGCTCGAAATTGGGGTTTGTATGAATCTGAGTTCAATTAAAATCCTAAAACAATACATGTATGCTAATTTGACAATCACAATCAAGGGCAGGGATGCATAATCATTAATCACCAATTATGTTTTTGCGAAAAAAAAAAAATCAAATTTTCAATAGTCTGGGTTCGCGAGGCAAATTGGAGAAGAAAACATATTTTTTTTTCGAAAGCCTGTTTAATCCAAAAAAAACGAAGTTGAAATTTTTAAACCTGTTTGTGTATAAGGTATTCACCAATATGCTAATAGGTGACCTATATCAAACAGTTTTATTTTTTATTCGTCTACGACCATAAGAAGTTTTGTAATCATATTGAATGTTATGATTAGGACGACTTTTGTAATTATATTTATGTAATCATTAAACAATTTTCATTAGATTATCAATGCAAATTCAATTTAATTATTAATAATTGATCTGAATTACAATGAAAACTTTAACATGTTTATAATAAACTGAAGGTTATGATCGTATACATTATAGGTCATTACATTATGAAACAATGTGTCAAGCTTATGTCATGAAGTGTTTATTAGAAATTTGATTCAACTAATTAAGTATCAACGATAAACGACCTATGAATTATTTAGTTTATTTAATCTTGTTATTCTAGGTAGCGCTCCTATAAAGCTTCGTAGGATTCTTAGTGAGTATGTGCAAGATATGGCTTTCCCACGTTTTGTGCCTCCTTGATAGATTATTTGGTTGTTTTTTTTTTGCTAGTTTTCGTGTTTTTCTTGGTTTAATCCTCATTTGCAAAAATAAGAATAAATAAATAAATAACTTGGTGTGATTTTTGAAAATTTTAAAAAAATAAATAAATAAAATGAAATTGTAACCTTGTTTCCCAAAAAAAAAAGGTTAATCAACAATTATGTATATGGTCAACTTAACAATTGAAGTCTAAATGTCTTTTAATATTTGACAAAAGATTGCCAAACTTATGTTACAAATCTTACAATATCCCAGTTTAAAAGATCATGTCTTCAATAAATTGAGTTATTATAGTTAATTAATTATTGTCATGGAATATTTAATGATACTATATTAGGTTCATATAAAATAGATATTAATTAATATTTGTCCAAAAATAAAAAATGTTAATATAAATTTTTTAAAAAAAATTTAACTTTCAAAAAATAAATAATACAAGTAATATACAAGTATTAATATATTGACATTATTAAATTTACATACAAATTAAAGAAATAAATGTTCTGAGTTTTATTATTTAAGTTGACAAAATTATTATTGAAAACATGCATATTATCATGTATAGGGTAATTTAAAAAAAAATTAAATTAAATTAAAGCAAGAGTATCATTGAAAACATGTAAATTTATTCGTCAAAAAAAAAAAGAAAAAAAAAGTAAGTTTTAGTTGATAAAAGTATTATAAACCATAGGTAATGTGAAAAAATTAAGAAAGCTAAGAGTAATTACCATACAATTTTTTTTTGACAAAACCGAGTTAGAAACATAAAGTAAACTTATAAATAGGGAAAAAAAAAGAAAAAAAAAGGAAAAGAAAAGAATGTTTAGAGCCACATTTACAATACAAAGTTAACTGAAATCCTACTAAAGTTATCGTACTAATAAAGTTGTAACATCACAATTAAGTTAACACAAAAGTATAATGCCTAATTATCATTGAAGATTCCTTCCAGAACCTTCATTTTCTATGCCCAAATCATTAAAATTCTCATCTTCATACAAAAATAACCTAATTAAAATTGAAATTTTAAAGATTCCTAAATAATTTGAAAATTATCTTTTCAAATATTAAAAGATATTTTTTGAAAAAAAAAAAAAAAGATATTGAAGTCATAATATTCTTTAAAATAATAAAATAAGAAATTAGGAAAATATCATGATTATAATTGATGTTTTGAAAGCTAAGGTTCATAAAAATTAAATAATCTTTCTAAAATTAAAAGACATTAAGTTCATACTTTTTTTAAAATTATTATTTAGGATTCGTATAAATCTTTGTCCAACGAATTGACAATCTTAATATAGTGCAGTACATTCTAATAATTGGAAATGTCCAAAATAACCTATAGTCGTCGCAAAAGAATAAACAATAAAACTGTTTGTTAGTTATAGGTAATGTCCTATTAGCATATTAGTGAATACCTTATACACAAACAAGTTTAAAAATTCCATCTTCGTTTTTTGGATCAAACATGCTTTCAAAAAAATAGTATGCTTTCTTCTTTCTTCACTTTGCCTCACGAACCCATACTTTCAAAAAATTGATTTTTTATTTTTTTATTTTTATTTTCGCATAGATATAATTGGAGACTATGCATCCCTTAATTGCTATTGTCCAATTAACATGTATTTTTTAGTATTTAAATTGAACCCAAATTCGTACATACGAACCCCGATTTCGAACGAACTCAAATTTTGCATATACTATGTAGATCGAGACCTATTTTCAATCTGCATTGATGTGTGAGTTTACTTATAGGACAAAGATTCTAATGATGGTGGTTATTTTCATCTAAGGATGAACAAAGATTCTAATGATGGTGGTTATTTTCACCAATGGATGAAGGACATTGAATAACAATGAAAAACAATATTTTGATTTTAATTCTTTTAATTTAATATTTATTTTTGATTTTATTAAATACTGATTTTTATAAAATAATTATGAAAAAAAATAGATTTTCGAAAAATCAAAATTTAATTTTTGAAAAAAAGAAATTGAATTTAAAAAAGAAAAAAACCAAAAAAGAGGTTTGACCAAACAAAAAAAAAAGGAAAAATTAGCCAATAAGAATTAAGAATAGTGGTGGTTGTTTTAAGGATGACCATTGTAGAAACATCCTAAATATATATAGTATAATATGTAGCTCAATAATAAGGTTTGCTTTTGAGTATAATAATAATAAAGAAAGCCGAGAGTGAAGGATAGCTCAAGTGGTTAGAGCTCCCCTCCTGGTACCAGGTGATCTTGAAATCGATTCTCATCACTCGCCCTTGTGGCTTTCTAAACATACAACCACAAAAAAAAAAAAAAAAAAAAAAAGCTTTACATCGCCAAATGTTATGTTCGATTATCAATGAGCAAATGAAAAGAAATTCATTACTATTGGATCATATTATTTGGTGGCAAAAGTTATGCCTTTACTCCATAGTTAATTTTTCTCAAGTCTCAACTAGTCTCAAGCACAATTATCATATCCATTTAGGGTTCGTTTGGTATCGTGGTTTTATAATTTTCAAAACCATATGATTCTGCCATATAATGAATTAAAAATTAGTCAAATTTATTAAAATTATGATAATTGTGAAATTAACAACTGAAAAGTAAAAACACTTTTTTTTTTTAATTTTTTTATTATTTTTTGCTTTTGGTTTTTGGTTTTTTTTTTTTATAAAAAAAAAAAGAAAAAAAGAAAAAAAAAAGCGAGGCTAAATATGCCCTTCGTCGTATTTTTTTTAGTTTAATGAAGCCCAAAATTCTTTTAGTAAGCCCAAATAAAAACAAAATGACTTAAAATGCTTGAACAAGTAGCCCAAATATAAACAAAATGACTTAAACTGTTTCAACTAGTAGCCCAAATAAAAACAAACTGACTTTATAAAGAATTGGCCCTCAAAAAATTTGGCTTATTGCTTACGGTTGTAGGAGAATAAGGAATATCTTGTTTGGTTAGAGTTTCCCTCTCGATTACAGCAGATCTTGAGATCGATTCTACCCACCTACCTTATAGCTTTCTAATCACACATACACAGGAAAAAAAAAGAAAAAAGAGAGAGAGAGAGAGAGAGAGAGATTGAATATATTGTTTACATGGTATATTCGAATGTATAATGTACAAACCCCTAGATGACTAGTGAGTAGTAACCCAACTAGGTTTGTTTGATGCCTCACCACCTACATTTTTTTTGGAAGTAGGGGATTTCCTTACCTCTCCCCTCTAATCTTAACCATTGACTTGCACAGTTAGACTGGTTTAACCTATGAGAAGTGCAAGTCTGTTTGATGTCTCACCGCCTACAATTGATGGTAAGCCAAACCAAAATTTTAAGGTTAGTCATGAGATGAAAATCTCATAGGTGATTAACCATTGGATAAGGATGGGTGATTTTAAATTTCTCTTATAAAGATTTAGGGTCTCCTAATGTTATTTTTTCTTACCTAATAAAAAAAAGAGTCTATTAGTAGAGATGTTGAGGAACTCATTTTATTGAGCCAGCTAGTATACACCGGACCTTAATCGGATCGGGAGAATTAAGGTGGACCCCATCGTAAATTGTGGATTTGGGGTACGTAAAGTAAAAAAAAAAAAAAACAACTTTGATTAATTTAAGCAAAGTCCACCAACCTTAAAACCACATTCAAAAGACGAGATTATTAGATTTTCTGGAACAAAAACAAAACACTTCTTTAGTAGAATCAGTACCCTTTTTCTACCCTATATTCTCTCTCTAAAATCTGGAAATTCTTCATATAAACCAGTGTACCTTCATCAATGGCGGCTTCTTTCAGTTGCCCTCCTTCTTCTATCACATTTCATCCTATTTACCCATTTTTGCCAACCCTATACTTGCTATTATCTTTCTCTCTCCTCTCAATTTCAATTCTCATTTTCTCCATTTTCAAACGACTCAAAAGAGCAGAGGAAGAAGATGACCCAACATCTCAAACCTCCATTTCTAACCTCAGACTTTCTCTCTCTAAAATTTCAGATAAAACCCTAAATGCCCATCAATTGAATGCGACCCAATTGAATCAATCAATCCTTTTGGAGGTCTCACCTTCGAATTCCCCCAAATGGGGTGCTCTGTTTTCGAGTGTCGATTCCGGGTTGAATTTGGGTCATTCGGGTGGGGAGGATGAAATTGAAAGGAAGAAGAAGAAAAAGAGGAAGGGGAAGAAGAAGAAGAAGCAGCAATTGGAAAATGGAGGAGAGGAGAGAGAAAATGAGGGTTTAGGTTTGTTAAATAAGGAAAAATTAGTGTGTTTATACCCTTTTACATCATCTTCTAGTGCTACTCAGAGGAAGATCAAACAACAGTATGATCAGCTTGTTAAGTCTCAAGAATCCAAAGAACTGACATTAGCTCAGGTTTTTGAATTTATCTTTTAATTTTTTATCTGAATTTTCTTTGAGTTAATGTTTGACTTATTTTGATGTTAATGACTGATGATGATGATGATGAATATGATGGTGTTAGAAATGTCAATTTATATTTTTTATCAAGCATTCGATTGTTGTTGCAGACTAGCAGTTAGTGTTGTTGATGTTGATTGTAGTGGCTTTGATCATTATCGAAGTCGAAAATTCGTACTTCCTTTGTTTGTTAATACTTCCTTTGTTTGTTAATACTCCCTCCGTCCCTATTTGTTTGTCCCATTGTCAAAATGTGGGTCAAACTTTGATAATTTTGACCATAAATTCCCGTAGTTCTACCAAAGGAAATATAGTCGCGTGAAATCTTATATGGTTCGTCTCATTATAAATTTAATTAATATCTACTTTTTATAATTTTTACGCACATGAAAATTATAATATAAACGTTTTAACACATGTCTTGGAGACCGCGTAAAGTCAAATAGGGCAAAAATAAAGGGACAGAGGGAGTAGTTGCATCATCTTGACTGGAAATGTATGCCAATGTGCTATTTTGACCGTTAATATCTTTAACTACGCTTTTATAGAATTTATAAAAAAATATATGTTGAAAATATATATTGAGAACAATAATTGGAAAAAGCAGTAATTTATTTTTACTACGTATATATTACTCCTTAGTAAATAAACGTGGTCAAAGTTAGTTTGAAAATAGTGTAAACAGTCAAAATGATGCAACTGTTGAGGGACGGAGGTAGCAATACTTAGGAATGGTATCTAGTATTAATCCAGGTTGCAATTCTTAATGCTTTATTATCTTCTATGGCTTTGGTTGAACTGTCATGTGTAATTATTTAAGTCATGATCTTGTCGTAGTTGCACCTGCTTTTATTGAATGGAGAAGGTTTAAATGTTAACACATTGCTAGTGATCCTAGATGATTTGTTTTACTAACTAAAAATTAGTCTGATGTTAGGATTTAGATGAAGAGACTTGTAGGTTATTGAATATGATTTGCCTGACTTTGAGTTATTAAACGGTATCCCCTCTGAAGCTTTAGATATGTATTGGCCTTACACTCTTGAAGGCGACTTATCATCTGTTAGGTTTTGAGATAATCTATTTTATGAATTTAATGGGTGTTAGTTTTTTGTTCGGAAATTCCTTTTAATTCTCATTGCTGCTATCATCAACTTGGGAAAACTTGTTAATGTGCTTGAAACAATGCTTATTAGTTATTTATCAAATGAAAGAACTGAACCTACTTTATTAAGTTGGAAAGAAAATAATACCTACTTAGCTAACTACCTCTCTGACTTTATTTATAAAAGTCAAACATTAACAAAAAGAATGGTTAGGGTTAGAATCGGAGTTGGCAACTTCAGGTTATGAGAGCTATACCACTGAATTGACTGAATAAGCACCACAATGGTCAGTCTTTACCCACAAAACGTGTTAACGTATGTGGGAAGGAGGAAGATGCAATGAAATAATTTAGGAGCCATCAGCCATGGGAGAAACTTTGTTCAAAAGAAATGTCAGTAGAAACCAAAATGAGTTGAAGATGTTTCTAGAAATTCTTAGTGATTTTGATTTTGAATTTAGATGAGGATAGAAATTGCTGACTCTTCCGTTCTATCATCAATGGACGTTTTAATTTTGTGTGTACTATGTTGAGTTTTCAATTGATCTGCTTTCAATTCATGCTTCATTTGCAGATGTAAAGTAATTATGACATCTTCCTATTTTTTCCTCCTTGGGGGTGGGGGTGGAGGCTGGGAGGGTTCCATCACTCAGAATTAGTGGCAGAGATTGTTGGGCTTCTTCAGGTTGAAAGAGTACTTTTGTTATAGTGGCATAATGGTGATGAGAATATTTAGTTATGACATTTTTTATCAGCAAAGGAGCTTCAAAAGTCATAGATATATGGTATAACGTCTTGCAAGCCTGTACAATATTAGGTTCTTCCAGGTGAAATTGAGTGTAGCTTGATGATTTTGAGGAGGTCATAATATCCGTGTATGGATTATTATCATCAAACAATATTTATCTTGCAAGCCATGCCATATTTTGCTTAATCCAATTCTGTATCCAAGCTGCCAAGCACGTGAACATGTATGAGTTGCTTGTGGGATTTGTGTTCAACTTAAGTTCATGACTTCATGTGCCCATTTGACTTATGGCATGAAGTTTGTCTTCTTAAATCTCTGTAGTCTTGTTTTTTGAGAGCAATTTTTGGAAAATCTAAAGTGGAGAGAGGTACGAATGTTTAATGAAGGTGGCTCTTGTTAAAACTTTAGAAGCTTCAAGAGGGAAATCTTTGTTTTGATGCAGATAAATTAAAGTTGTACTGACAGAATGAAATTTGAGCCCAACATACAGAATTCATTGCCATGATAAGACCTGAGAAATAATGATCTGGACTGTTACCTCTTTAAATTGAAAGATTAATTTGGCCAGTTTGTTAGGCTAAAAGGTTCTTTCATAATAAGTTACAATTATAACTGTCTTGTTTTTCTATATTGCAGGTTTGCCAGTTTGTTAACTGCCTGGTTGATGCTAAGAATGAGCTACAGCACAAGTAAGTTTAAAGATTTATTCAGGCTCTTTCCAATTTATTAACTTGTGGAACAGGTGAACTTCCGCTTTAAAGAAACAGCAAAAAGGAATGCGACCCCCCAACCCCACGGGGGAGAGCTCTTGATCCCTCCAGCCCCACCCATAACCCAGAAATTTTGTTGTTAACCTTTAGTTTGTGGCAAAGGCTCGTCCTTCTATTCCTTTACTTTGGGACTAACATGTTTTTGGACTTTAATATGTTATGGTTCTTTGCTTGAGTTTCTGTGAAATTTTGTCTATTATTTTCAAAGAATTTACCTCATCTTCTGACACCATCTTAGTCTCCCAGAAAAAAAAAGACATATAAAAAATTGCAACTTAATGTCTTTTCTGATGCAGGTCTGAGGGCGTCAAACGTAAATTTACAATAACCAAGGCCTTAATACTTAAGGCTGATAGATCCTCCTTTGACCGACTTCGACAGCAGGTAGGTAGTGAAATGCTCTCAAGACAGCATAATTTGTTTATAAACTCAAATGTTGAATGATGTTTATTGTTATTTCCAGTTATACAAGCTAGAAGCAGATCAGAAGAGATTAGAGGAGGATGCATTTGTTTATAATTGGCTTCAGCATCAGCTTAAGCTTTCACCAGCGTACAAGAAGGTATATATATGCCTTATTCCTATCACGACCCAACCTAAGAGGCAAAAATGTGACACTTGAGTGTAAGAGACTATGAGATATAAATATCTGTCTCTTGGTCTCTCCTTGTAAATTTGTATTTTGCTGGTGCCTGGTTCTTCTATCTCATCAGAAAATTATGTGGAAGTTGACACTTCACACTTGTATAGTATAGAAGACATCCGCTTATGAATATGAACTGCTCCTTACTTTGTACTCCTTACACGCCAACCAGCTTAAAACAAAGAGAAAATAGAGGATAAATGGATAATAATAACATCTTCAAACTGCTAATATCTGAGACCGTATGTATCTGAAAACAGATTAGTCAATTTGAAACAATGGATAATAGATCTGAATATGTCCCAGAATTGCAATAACAAAAGCTGCATTTTATTGTATTGTTTACCCTTCATTTGAACTTAGGTATCAATATCGAATGCTTGAAAGTTAGAAATGGGTAGGGACACTTTTGGTTCAGTTTGGGTGAAAATAAAGTAAGATCTTATTTTCTTCGAGTATGATACTTGGAGATGTACTTCTGTCCTGTCCATCTGACATGCTTACAATAAAATGTTGTGCATACTAAATTTTTTGATATTATTTCTAAACTTCCATTTCTATGTGATAGTCTCTGGATGATAAATGATAGGAATGAAATTGTATTACTTCAGATGCTTGAAATCGGGGCTTCCATGGAGTTGAAGGCCAAGTCTGGTGAACTAGTTGAAGATCCAGAAACTGAGCAGAGTGATATCTCCTTTGAGGAATTTCTAGAACAAGAGAAAAAAGATACATTTTGGTATAATCATGTTCTTCTAATGCATTGGACTTTCTTCAAAACGGTAGTAAATTATTGAACTCTACTAACAAGAGATTACATGGAAATTGCAGGCAGAAATATCCGAAGACCAAACCATGTTCAGGTTGATCGCGTCTGCTCGCCTGCCCTTTCTTTTTATCTCCTCTAATAGCGGTGATCAGATTCACCCAATAGCAAGGTTATATTAGGTCTAGTACTCAAAGCCTGCTTCCTGGCAGGAGTTTTTATTTAAAGGCTGCTGGAGCTTCATTCAGACCACCCCCCCCCCACCCCTGAAAGTACCATGTTATCCTTGTTCATGGGCTATTAGTGAAAATCCTTTATTTTTGGCACATAATTAGCAAGTTGGCTTGGAGAAAATGTCAAGAGCCAAGGTTTCCGGTAGTATTGTCTTTCAAACAGTATGGTATACAACTATACAAGACTCATGACTTCATGAGACTGATTACCTTTCATTTCAGATCTTATACTTTTTTTTTGGTCATGAGAAGGCCCAAGGGGGAGCCTAACCATTTTTTTTCACACGCATGCAAAATAGTTTTATGACAAAGTACAAACCCATTTACCCGATCCTTTAACTCATGAGCTACTTTATTAAGTGTACTCGACAACATGTAAAGTAATAATTTCAGGCGTTCAGCCTCATAATTGATCACTTTCATCACTCCTTGGTTTTCATCCCTAGCAAAACTAACTAGATTCCATACTTGGCAGTGAATCTGTGATCTTCGTGCACACAAGAACTTACTTTGTCTCAACACTTTTACAGAGTCACTCATATGCAAATTGGGTACCAGGACAAAATGCAACACCCTTATGCCTCTTGCCCATACATTGGACGCTACACACACCACACCACACCGGCACATACCATCAAACAAGCCTACCAAACTGACATCATTCAGAAACAAAGGTCTAATTATTATTACTCGAATAACATTGTATCTTAAATTGCCAACAAAATAAAATAAAATCGTGGACCTTTGAGGTATCAAAGAATCATTATTCAATACATATAAAATGGATGTTAGATTAAGGCTATATTTTTTTACAAAATTGATTTACCTTGAAATTTTATTAGAACCCCTTTTTGGCAACACAAAATAAAAAGCTAAGGGCAAAACCTTGACAACGGCTAGATTTAATTTAGTAGGTCAAGCCATGATAACAAATTAAGTTGATAATCTTACAATTTCATGAATTGACTTTGAATCTCAATAAAAAAAAACATTATTATGGCAATTCGAACCGCCTAATCTCACAGCCAGAAGCTTAACAAGAGTCACATGACACAACTCACACAAGTATAAATAATCTTACAGAGTAAATAATATGATGTGACACCGTTATCACATTACATAAAAGTTATTATCTTGGTTTTTATGTTTATTGATAGGTTTTAAAGATGAAGTGAAATAAAACACTAGACGCATACGTGAGTAGATCTATTCGGGCTGTTTTACATGAGTACATGAGCCAAGCCCCATATAAACAACGACCCACACCCATTTATGTTTTACATACTCAGCAGGGCACTTACTTCTGAACTGACTGCCTTGAGCAAAATCAGAAAAAAGAAGACGAAATAGGGTGTGCAGAATAAGCGGGAAACCAAAAACACAGAGAGAGATGACGGAGAAAGGTAAAGGAGGAAGGAGTGGAAAGGGTGGAGAGCTAACAGTGGACGAGAAGTACACCCAGTGGAAATCTTTGGTACCCATTCTCTACGATTGGCTCGCTAACCACAATCTTGTTTGGCCTTCTCTTTCTTGCCGGTATGCCTCTTTATCTCTCCTTTTTCTTCTTCTTCTGTTGAATTTAGGTCAAATGTGTGTTGGGTTTTTCTGGGGTTTATGATTTTTTGGAGTTTTGAACTTTTATTTGTATGTTTGGGTATTTTTGAGGTGAAATTTGGGTGTAATTTGATAAAAATGTAATTTTGGGATTGTTTCTAAAAAGAATGTGATGATTATAAATGTGCTTCTTTTACTGGGATGTATACTCAAGAAATGTGTGTTATTGATTAGGGTATGAGTTTAATTTTTCAGGTTACATGTATTTTTCATGCCAATGTATGCCCTTTTTTGAGTTGTAATGCATGCTTTTATGAAGTGAGGAGTTTTATATTTGTGCTTATTAAACGAGAGGTACATTACAGTGGCACATAACCAAAATCCATGTGTGAAAGCTTAGGGTCTTGACATGCAGATCTTCATTGTTATATATCCTTTTATTTCTTGATATCACTGCTACCTTGAGCTAGTTAGAGGTGAGACTGAGTACAGTTGGAGGTCCTAAGGCACTGTGAGGGCACAAGTCATACTGGGTTGTTTTCGTGGACACATGGTGGCAGTTTTTCTTATATGCAGAAACACTTAAAGGCAAGCTAGCTTAGGTCTGTGGAGTTGATGTTGGGCTGTAATGGGAAAGTATATGATGAGAGTCTAAGAGATGTTTGCTGATGGGTTATTTGTGGTGAATCAAATGCATTTGTTGATGGGAAAACATATGATGTTAATTTGATCTCCAATGTGATTGGGGATCAAGTTTTAATGAGGAAATCTGGGTAAAGGTGTGTAGATATGCTTTTAGTGTTTGATTGCTTTCTTGTTTTAAATTGTTTATGGAAAAGTAAAACTATGGAAAATTAGGTAAATCTCTTATATTTTGCGTGTTATGATTGCTGTGGATTTCCCTTCAAAGTGCTAAAAAAAATTTGGGGATAACTAAGCAAATCAATGTTTAAACTAAGTTATCCCCTATATTCAGTAGATTTTTCATAATTAACAAAGCAAAATAGGGAAAATTAACATTTTTTTTTTGTAGATTCTATAATTTTACTTTTCTCATTGCTGTAGTTTTACTTTACTTGACACTCCATATTTCCACATAAAATTACTTCCCAAATACAATGTTCCTCTCCATGGCCATATTTTTATTTTTTTTAATTTTTATTTTTTTATTTTTTTTTTATTTTTTTGGGGGGGGGGGGGTTTGGCGCGGGCGGTGTGGAGATTAAAAGTTTTTAAGCATTAATTTAGACCGTTAATGTGATGATTGTATGTTGTAGATGGGGTCCACTTCTTGAGCAAGCCACCTACAAGAATCGGCAGCGTCTTTATCTCTCTGAACAGGCAATTTCATCCTCATGATGCGTCTTTTCATTTAATATTGTTGTTAAGTTCCATCATCTTTTACTAAATGATTTTCCTCCTTAACTTTTTTTTCAGACTGATGGGAGTGTTCCAAATACACTTGTTATTGCAAACGTTGAAGTTGTTAAGCCTAGGGTTGCTGCTGCAGAGCATATATCTCAGGTAATATCATCCTTGCATGCTAACTACTTTGTCAGAACTTTTCTTCTACTAGTAGTTTAGAATGCTTAGCCTCTAAACTTTCTTTTCTTTTTTGATGGTATCTCAGTTTAATGAAGAGGCTCGCTCTCCATTTGTAAAGAAGTTCAAAACCATCATACATCCAGGGGAGGTATGCTTATTGTTTCTTTTGCCAAGAGGTTATATCAATAATCATGTAGTGGGCTTGCTTTTTGAGCATTTTCAAATTAGTTTCATATAATGTCTTTATCTAGGATTGATGGAAACTAGATGTTCTAATGTTATAGTATACGAAGTATATTGATTTGATATATCAGTCTTTTTGTATATCATATCACATGAAGTAACTATTTATTGTATCTCCAGTTCATGTTTCATTTCCCTACTTGTTCATATAATAGCCACTACTAAGTTTGTATGGAAGCCCAAAGAGAGCTGTTGTGGCATTTGGCCAACTAGAATTATTGAAGAATGTTATTAAAGGTCCTTCTAACTGCAATGTGTAAGAATTCATTTAGATAGATTGCAATCTCTAGAGACTAGTAGAGGGTGATTGTAACTCTAGAACAAGCTGATCTACACTCCCTCCCAAGGCCCAATCAATCCTTAATCCTCCATGGCTATACCTGTTGATGTTCACTTTTAATAGAGTATATGCAGAGAGATGCCAAGTTTGTCTTGCTAAAATTTAAGTTGTACTTCTGATGATTGCTTTGGTTATTCTAGTTTGTTTTCAGTTTTCCTTTTATTCTTAGTAGCGATGCATCTGCATCTCTATTAGGAGCTAGATAGATTTGGAAACATTTGCTTATTTTATATCTTTCTCCCTTGGGACAGCATGACTATGGTTAGCATTATAATCTTTGTGGTGATTGTTTTGCATTATTTATGCATCAAGAGCTTCTTGAACCTGACCTGTTTTCTTGTGTACTTTGTTCTCATTTATTGTTTCCCTTGTAATTTTTTTTTTCTTGGTACCTATAGTTATTACATTTGCTTTGTTCAGGTGAACAGGATCAGAGAACTTCCGCAGAATAGTAACATAGTGGCTACACACACTGATAGCCCTGACGTGAGTTATTTATTTACTTGAATACACGTGTTCATAACATGAGCATGGAAATTTACATGCTATTTGCAGTACTTTATTCATGCGGCTATTCCTTGATAAAGTAAGTTGGAAGTAATATAACTTGTTGCTTCCATTCAGGTATTAATTTGGGATGTGGAAAATCAACCTAGTCGTCATGCTATTCTGGGAGCTCCTAGCTCTCGTCCCGATCTGGTAGGCTTCATCTGAAGTTACCTTTGTTTACACTTTTTTGTTGTTTTGTGCTTGGCAATTACATATTTTTTTTCTTGATAACGCAATAATAAGTTGGTTCAAGTTTTAAATTAGTATTAATTTAAAACTTTAAATAGTTAGTTGATCCCTTGTCATGCAGATATTGACTGGACACCAGGAAAATGCTGAATTTGCTCTTGCAATGTGCTCTTATGAACCATTGGTGCTTTCTGGAGGTGTGACTCTTATTTTGTTATAGTACTGCTTTAGTGATTTCACAAAGTTTTCTGTCATTTTTACTATAAATCATTTTTGGTAGAAGTGTTGACTGACTGTTGAGCCTAGTTCCAGAAAGAACTACATGCTATGCATTGTTAACAGATTGACACTACAAAAAGCTCTTGCAATATGAACATGTTGAGTAAATCAACTTTCTCTTTCATGAGGCTTCTTTGTACATAATGATTCGCCAAAATGTTTTCTGGCCAAAGAGATTTATCTGACCTTCAACTTAGGATGTTGAACAATTGAGGGTGTGGCTGAGGTGAGTGGCAGAGGTTTTTAAAAGAGTAGAAATAAGCAACTAACTTGTAGCTTGTATGGAAGGACATTGCTCAATTGTGATCTAAATAAGAAACCTTGATATGACGTGGTCTACTTTTCTTTTCTTTATTTTATTTTATTTTATATCTTTTGCATACTTAAAGGATTTCTACCTGGGGAAGCTCTTTGTGTTGTAAAAGTGTCTTTTTTTTGGCAGCTTCTATTCCTAAGAGAAGAAAAAGGGTATGGTGCTCACCTATTAGCCTGTTGAATAAAACATTGGAAAGGAAGTCATTCTCCACCTACTTCCGTTTATTTTAAAGGGTTTCCATTCTAAGTGGAAGTTGATCAACTTTCTCTATTTCAAAATTTTGATTAGGTGTTCAATAAATGTAGAAAGGACTATACCCATCTAAACCTGACAAACCATCTGCCACTCTGGCAAGGAAAGTGGGTCATATTTCTTAATTCCTATCATAACTATTATAATGACTCTGTTTTTGCATATATCTCACCTACCTTAACTGCAGAAGCAGCTATTTCACTTCACACTGGTTTGATGTTGCTGTGCTTGATAATTTAAGTGAGTCTGGCTAGTGGTTAGATCTGCTGAAACATGGGTTTAGTTATAGTAATTATTTATGTGTCCTGTGATCCTGTTCAAAGAGGATCTATGTGATCTTTGTTTGACCTCTGGGGTTCATGTCTCCTTACTTCATAATGAGCTCTGAAGTGATTTACGTTAACATCCCGTAGCAACGATGGTTTCTTTAAGCTTTACTGATGTATAATTTTGCTGTTTGTGTCATCTGGTAGTGCCCTTTTCAGTAACTTTTTATACTCCCTTGTCTGGAATTATTGAACTAGCAAATGCAATAACTAAATCCATACAAAAATATTACTAACTAGCAAAGATTTTCCAAGCAGGGAAGGATAAATTAGTGGTTTTGTGGAATATAAATGATCATATATCAACGCTGGCAACAGAACCAGGGGCCGCAAAATCTGCTTCCACTGGCAGCAATATCAAATCAGCATCTAGGACTGGCGATGGAAATAATGGAACTGCAGCTAGTCCTTCCGTGGAAGCACGGGGCATTTATAAGGGACATGATGATACTGTGGAGGATGTGCAATTTTGTCCCACAAGGTAGCTTGCTTAATCACTGTTTTGTGTGCCTAAACTTGTGTTTTCTCTGAAATATCTGGACCAAGTATGACTAAAAGCTGCTCCTGTTATACCATCTGTTTAGAGTCATGAACAGTGTCACATCTAAGCTATTATATGATAAGTGGACTTGTTTTTAACCTCGATTATCCACCTCAAATACTTGGCAACTGGACATAGGTATGGACATTTGACAGTTGACACTTCATTTTGAATCAATACATGCAAAATTTCTTTTGAAAGACCACACATTAAGTGCCCAAAAGCTTGAATCATAATGTTGTGTCTGCCTAGTAACTGAGTCAGAGTAATTTTTTTTTTAATTTATTTATAAATATTTACATGTTCTCTATATGTGTGGAAGTGCTCAGCAGTTTTGCAGTGTGGGTGATGATTCTTGCTTGATACTATGGGATTCAAGAACTGGATTGACTCCAGCTACTAAGGTAACATCTCTGAACTTGGTAATTCCAAAATGCACCCCCCCCCCCCCCCCACCACAAATTCCTGATGCAAGAAAATGGAAAGAGTAAAGAAGAAAATTGGGTGGGTTGGTAGGGGGGGGGGGGAGGCGATTTTGTCAGATTCCATCATGTTACTTGCACACTCGGCAAACTCTGCATAGTTTTTCAAATTGCAAATCAAACTAATTTTTAAATTTGTGCTTTTAGAGAAAGATCTTTAACTTCCTTTTATCGTGTAAATCCCATCTGAGGACTGGTGTCACTGGCCTAAATCTCTCTTGTTTTTGTTGGAAGATTTTTAGTTTCTGCATGCAACTTTGCTTTTGGACTCTGCATCCAATCATGAATTCACTTTCACCCTCTCATAGAATATTTTTATAGAATTAGCATCCTCATTTCTCAAACATGTACGATTGTACATTATTCCTTCAGGCTCTTGATTTTCTGTTAGAGTCTTAGAGATGACATTACGACAATTGTCTGAATAGATTGTTGGTTTTATTAACTTTTACCCCCCTGTAATAAATACCTTACACATTCATATGTATGGTATCTTAACCAGTTATAGCAATACTGGAATGCCCTTATGCTTGTTGAACCAGGTTAGGTATCTCTGACGATATATTCTATCCCTTCAGGTTGAAAAGGCCCATAATGCTGATCTACATTGTGTTGACTGGAACCCTCATGATGAAAATTTCATATTGACTGGGTACGTGACTATGTGCTTTTTGTTACTTGCAACCGGTATTTGAATTGTACGGATTTGTCTCTCAACTATAGCAACACTTTGTGCAATCAGATCAGCTGATAGTTCAATCCACATGTTTGATCGGAGAAATCTCACTGCGGGGGGAGTTGGAGCACCTGTCCATAAATTTCAAGGCCACAACGATCCTGTCCTTTGTGTACAGGTCAGCATTTCTTTATTGAATTAGCTTGCATATATTTACTTATCTTGTGTATTCTAAAAGATTATTGTATTTAAAGAATATTATGATTTTTGATACAGTGGTCACCACATAATAGATCAGTTTTTGGCAGTGCTGCTGAGGATGGCCTGTTGAACATATGGGATTATGAAAGGGTATGGATACACTATTCTTTAGTGTGATGAAGTTTTTTAATTTACTTCAATTAAGGTTATTTGCGATTTCTGTGAATACAAAGACGTATTTTATGCTCTTCTAATTTGAAGATACTCCTGAAATGTAGGAGAGGCATCTCTATAATTCAACAAATATTTTCTAGCAATTATATACTCTTCTAATTTGTCAACTTCCATGGAAAGCCTTGTTTTATGGTGTACAAAACAATGCCTGAATGGATGAAAGGAGTTGAGCCCTTATAGACATTCTGGAACTCCATGTCTACTCAATATTTCAATGAGTGTTTCTGGTTCTGCATGTTTATGGTATTCTACTTATAAAAAAAACAATAAATAAATAAATAAATAAATTGTCTAACCATATATGTGCATGGTTCCAGCTGAACATCTTTTTATAGCATGAAATGATTGTTTTGCTATCCCTTACCTTTTTTTTTGTCTTACTATTTTACCTGCATGTTCATTACTTTTATTCTGCTTACTTCTGAACAATTGTGTTTTCTTTGATAATACTCAGACTGGTAAACTGCAAACAGAGAGTGGAAACAAAGCGTCGGAGTATCCAGCAGGTTTGTTTTTCAGGCATGCAGGACACAGGTATTTTTTTTTCCTTTTTTTTTTTATTTTTTTTTATTTTTTTTTTCCCATAATACAATTTCATGTGCATAACCTTTTCTTTCTTTGGAATAGGGACAAAGTGGTTGACTTCCACTGGAATTCGATTGATCCATGGACTATTGTCAGTGTTTCGGACGATTGCTCAAGCTCTGCTGGAGGTGGAACATTGCAGGTATTGATATATTTATTGCTAGCCTGGTCTGATGCCACTCTGATCTATTAATCTTTTTCTAAATTGCTTCACTGAGTACCTGGAGAATCGTTGTTTTTAACTTTGTTTGCAACCTCAATTCTCAAGCTTTAAATAGGTTTAACTCCCCATGCATATTATATACTCAAGTGCATCATGCAGGCACATCATGTATTCACATATGAGGTGCATCATGCATATATTGTACGCAATAATATTTCAACTCTTACACAAACCTAAATTAATGTGCTTTTGAAGATAGAGCATAAAAGAGAGATAGAGGATAGCCTTCTTTTGCTAGTTACTTCACTCTTCCTCCACTGTGTGAGCTTTTGCTTGTAGATAAGTTCATGAGCATCTGTTATGTTGTTTTCCATGTCCACTATCTGAAAAATGACTGTGACTACTTTATCATAAACTCAGTATAGCTATGTGCAACAAAAGGTCCAGTTTTTCTGTTTATATGATCTGTAGTTGCCACATTTACTGAAGCATCATTGATTTGCTTTACCGACCACATTCACTCCATTTATATTATTGAACCTGTTGCAGATGTGGCGCATTATTGATTTGCTTTACCGACCAGAAGATGAAGTCCTGGCGGAGTTGGACAAGTTCCGATCCCATGTAACCACATGCTCCTCCTAGATCTTCAAGGATATTAGAATAGCTTAGGCTGACAAGAAATGGTTTAACCATGGAAGAGGGTGCAGATATCATGAAACCTTTATTTTATTTTTTGGTTTTTTCTGGGTGAAAAAGTTTCTCACTGTTTGACCCTTTCACGAATGTAACCTTGAATATTGTAGTTTCTAGCCTATTCCTCCTAAATCTGATATTCTCATAAGGACTTTCACAATGCGTCCAAAATCAATGGTCACATATACTGTACTGAATTGCAGATATGTTCAGAAACTTATTAAGTATTAGGTGCGCCTTGCTTCGTGTCGAGTTAAACCATTCATGAATGCTGAACTATGTTTGATCACTCTTCTAGATCTACATCTGAAAATAAAGAAATGTAAATATAGAATACTGGTCTAAGAATAAAATGTTTAGAATAATGTAATTAGTACGGATTACAAGTTTTAGTACACTCTTATAAAAGTAAATTGGGAAAGTAAATGTATGATTATGAGGTGGAGAAGATTAGGGCGTAGTGCCACGCGCTGCTAGGGCCCACCTGACAGTGGCATAAGCATATGTATTTGTTGTTCATATTCTTTGCTTTTGATGATTGGGCGGCTACTTGAATGTCATGCTACCAAAGTCGGTGCAGAAAGGTTGTAGAATTATCATCTCTTTACATTTTCCATTTCATTTGAAACCACCTCCCCACCCCTTTTATTTTTTTTCTATTTTATTTTAAAATAATTCTTAGTTTGTTGATGGACTACACTAGTAGGGCAGTCAATTCTCAATAGTACAAGGAAACATACCTTGTGGAATGAGATGTTGTCAAAACACAAGAAACATACACATTGTTACATAGATGACATGCCAAATATTTTTTTTGCACTCATACTTGAATACACTACTTGCATATGTTGATAATTTGCGCTTTTATAACTTAATAATAGAGTTTTTTTTATAGACGTAATACATTTTAAAGGATGTATAGATGTTATCTAGCAAAAATTGATTGAAAAAAAGGTAATATTTTGAAACTAAATTTGTAGTAAATGTAAGCTTAAACAACAAAAAGGTTGTAAGCTCTCAATCTCAATGTAAGTAATGAGAATATCACCTTGTAACCTGGAACTCATATGATTGAATAATATCCCTGTACATGGATTCGAAAATTTGCTTTTCTCTAATTTTATCTTGCATTTCACAAAAATTTTAATAGCTTGAATTTGATCATTCGTCTCATCTCAACTAATAATAAAAATTTAAACTTCTCTACAAACATTTTTTAGAAAAAAAAAAAAAATCAAAAATGTAAACAATCCTTCCCTATACGAACTTATGAGGTATTAGAATTTGTTTCATATTACTATATTAGTATCACTAAAATTGGAAATCTAAGATTTTACTGTTTATAGTAAAAATAGCAAAAACAATGATATGTACATTATTAAAATCTTCAGTAAAGTTTATTTAAAAAAAAAACCCATATTTAATTTCTGGGAAAGAATACCAATACAACAACGACGGACGCATTTAATTAAAATAATACTGTACAAATCTCCTTCCTCAAACCCCTCTACACACAGACGACATCGTCATCTTCCCCCTTTTTAATTTTCTCTCTCCTAATTTTCTCTTTCTTCTTCGATCCTTCTTCTTCAACCTCGTGTGCAATCGGATCAGATTCGACGAAATGGGTATATTTCTCGTCAATTTATTTGATAAAATTTTACGTTTTTGTTTGATCTAATTGAATTCAATTGTATTAAATTTGTTTCCCTGTTTTTTTTACAATTGATGATGTTACTTCGGTTATGTTCCGTTTCTAGATTAATTTAATGTCGGTTTTTTTTTTTTTTTTTATTGGTTTTATTTTAAATGCGGGGTTAATCGCGCCGTTTCTCATGCAATTGCTTTATATGTGATTTTCAGGTGTTTGGGATTTTAATTAATTTAGGTTTTTATTTATAGAAACTCTACTGTTACTTGCCCTAATTTTGAGTAATTGGGGATCATGAATTGACTAGTGTTTGTCTCAAATGTTGGGGGAAGTGATAAAGATTTTAATTTTATGAACCGGGTTCTTTGAATTTCCATTTTTTTTTTACTGTTGGAAGGTGAATTATTTGGAAACTTTTTTTGGGGTGTCTTATGAAATTGGTGATCGTAATTTTGACGGTTTTCCTGCTAGTGTGCTTTCATTGGTAAGATTCTAGTTCTTTTTGAGGATAGGTCATAGAAAACGTTTTGGTGTGTTTGGTTGAGACTTTTGCTGCTTCTGAAATTTGGTTGTTTTATCAAAACTTAATGCTTGGAGGGTAGAATGTTTGGAGAGAGTAGAAACAATATGAAATGTATCTGTCAGTGTGCTTTTGTAGATGAGAGTACAGCTCTAATGTTGTATTTGGGTTTCAGAAAGTGTTAAAACAACGGTTTATTCATTGATGGACATTGGTTGAAATTTATTGCTTATCACGATTGCTTCTTATGACTTCTATGTCTCTATGATGACTTAATGGCTGGGGGAAAGAAGCAAAAATATTTTATCTTCTTTAAACTGATATTCCGAAGCAGATTATCAAGAAATCTCATTTATGTTTAGCATTCTTATCATGCCAAGCTTTTAGAATCATGAATGTATTGCCTTACTAAGGTTATGTCTATTTTTCTCAGATAATGATGATAGATGTTGTTCTACCCAGCTGATCGATGGAGATGGTATGTTCAATGTAGCTGGGCTCGAGAGTTTTTTGAAAGGAGTAAGGCTGGCAGAATGTGGGCTTTCATATGCCATAGTCTCCATCATGGGTCCACAAAGCAGTGGTATGTTTTACTTTTTATTTTTTTTGTTATAAAAAAGTATTTAGCTTATAACTTAGTGGATGCTGTTTTATAATTTTACAATGTATGGAGTATTGGAGTAGTTCTTGAACAAACTAAGTGCAATTATTTTACCAATTTATGCATCTTAAGATGTATGTATATCTAAAACATATGTTTCTTGGCTATGTTGTCTGTTAGCTGAACTTTTTTTTCTTTTTTTTTTTTTTTTTTTTTTTTACGAACTTCTCTACTCTAGTTGCACTTATTTTATTTAATGAAATTCTGTACCCACTGCATACTTGCAGTGGTGTTATATGGCTAAGGTGGCTGCATCCTATTTAGTGATCACTTTTTTTTTTTTTTTTTTTTTTTTTTTTTTTCTTCTTACTACAGGGAAAAGTACGCTATTGAATCATTTATTTGGAACCAACTTCAGGGAGATGGATGCATTTAGAGGAAGGTAATTGGATATGTTCTTATCCAAATTGTGTTTGTTACCAAAGATAAAATAGTCATATTGACGGAATTCTATATTCTCTAGGTCTCAGACAACCAAAGGTATTTGGTTAGCAAATTGTGTTGGGATTGAGCCCTGTACTCTAGTTATGGATCTGGAGGGTACAGACGGTAGAGAGAGAGGAGAGGTGATTACCATTTCCCGTTTATTTATCTTCAGCTTTGGATTGTTTTGTCCACTTTCATTGATATGTTTTACATAAAAAAATCTGAACCCTTACTGAACTCTTCCACTTGACATGTCTAGGACGATACTGCTTTTGAAAAACAAAGTGCCCTCTTTGCCCTTGCTGTTTCTGATATAGTGCTTATAAACATGTAAGTGCATAAACTACTTGTTTGCTTTCCTGATTTGTTTGACTTTTTTTTATATTCTTTTTTTTTTTTTTCTTTTTTTTCTTCTTTTTTTATTTATTTATTTGAGAATTTGCTCAGTAAATCTGTAATTGATGTAGGTGGTGCCATGACATAGGGCGTGAGCAGGCAGCAAATAAACCGCTATTGAAGACTGTTTTCCAAGTACAACATTGTTTCTCTAATTTAGTTCTATTTGTTTTTGCTATCTGAAAGCATGCTTTATCAGACTTGCAGCCAGTCTCCTTGTACATTGATTGATGTATAGATTGGGTAAGCATTAATTTTTATTTATGGCTGTGCTTCCTTATAGGTGATGATGCGATTGTTTAGTCCTCGTAAAACAACTCTGATGTTTGTGATACGTGATAAGACAAGGGTGAGTTTATCTTCTATTTCTTTCTGGAATTAACTTAATCCTCATGAATAGTGAATGTTGTCAATTTTTAGAACTTGACCAGTATCTCTATTTTCTGTTTGTACCAGACGCCCCTTGAAAATCTTGAACCAGTTCTGCGAGAAGATATTCAAAAGGTGATTACTTTGTGCTTTTTCATTCCATGACCAACCGTGACATTAATGTTTTCTGACCATATTTCTCCTGCTAGATATGGGATTCAGTTCCTAAGCCACAAGCTCATAAAGATACACCCCTGAGCGAATTTTTCAATGTAAGCTAATCTTTCAGCTTCATGTTGTGGAACGTCAATTTAACACTAGAGCCTCAAGAAGATTTGACCAACGAGATTGTGTTGTCCATTTGCTGTCAACTTTGCCAGGTTGAAGTTGTCGCTCTTTCCAGTTATGAAGAGAAAGAAGAGCTTTTTAAAGAGCAGGTATGTCACTTAGATTCCCTCCCTCTCCCATTCTGTCTTACTAATGCCTGCTTGTAATGCAACTGTGATGATCATTGCTCTTTCCTGACAAAACATCTTGGCTAATTTTAGATTTTCAGATTTGCTTTTCCCCCTTTCTTTTCTTTTCTTTTCTTTTTTGTTTGAAGTGGGAGGGTTGTAAAATGTGCCTGAGAGAAAGGTTTGTATTTCTCATATTTCCGATTTAAAGTTTCCTAGGGAATCCTACCAAGTTGATCTGAAGTTTCGTTCCTAGAAGCTAAAACTAAATCTGGAACTGCAATGTCTTCACTCAAGTTTGGTTAATCGACTAATGTATGGGTATTATTATACTCCGTCTGACTTTCTGTGAATGGATGAAGGTTGCTAATTTGAGACAGAGATTCTACCAATCTATAGCTCCTGGCGGGCTTGCTGGAGATCGCCGGGGAGTCGTGCCTGCTTCTGGCTTTTCTTTCAGTGCTCAACAGATATGGCAAGTTATCAAGGAAAACAGGGACCTTGACCTTCCTGCTCACAAAGTAATTGATTTAACGCATTCTATTTAGGTGTCAAGGCATATGTTGTAATATGTGATTAGTGCTCATGGCTCAAGTCCTTTTTAGGTCATGGTGGCTACAGTTCGCTGTGAAGAAATTGCCAATGAAAAGTATAGCAACTTTACCCAAAATCAGGTATAATTTTATTTAGATCCCCTCATCTATGTGTGATCTTTTGTTGATGATCTCTCTTTTCTTGCTGCATTTCTTACTTCTGCTGGTCTATTTGCTGCTATATTTGTAGGATTGGCTTCAGCTGGAGGAGGCCTCACAATCTGGCCCTGTTGCTGGATTTGGAAAGAAGCTAAGTGCAATTATTGGGAACTGTTTGTCTGAGTGAGTATAATTTTTTTTTTTTCCAAATTCTGTTGTCATCGTATTGCCTCCCTTTTAAGGGTATTTTCTTGTATGTTCAGTATTTCTGTTTTTCTTTCTCACTGGGAATATTTCGTCAAGGAACAGCTTTTGGATTTCTGTTGTATTTCTTTGTATTTTGCTATTTTTTCATCCTCACTGGTTTTGTGGTTATATTTAGTTACATGTACTTTCTTTCCTCCATTCAGGTATGATTCAGAGGTCATATATTTTGATGAGGGTGTTAGAACTTCCAAGAGGAGGCATTTAGAAGATAAATTACTGCAAGTAAAGTCATCTATCCTCTTTTAAACTTACAAATATTTTGTACTTCTGCTGTGTAATATATGTTATGCATGGGAGTGAAACTAGCCTAGCTAGCTGTGACGTTCTTTTATATCTTGTATATTTTGAAACTGTACATGTCAATATAATTTCTATCAGGCTAGCAGCTAATAACAGTTTTTTCTTGTGCATTTACCTTATTGATTCTTACTGTATCTCTCTTTTCTGCTGACTTGTATTAGCTTGTTCAACCGGCTTTCCATTCCATTTTGGGACATGTACGGTCTGAAACAGTAGAGAAGTTTAAGGAAGCGTTTGACAAAGCTTTGAGTAGCGGGGAAGGGTTTTCTGCTGCTTCACACAGATGCAAACAGACATTTATGAATCTATTTGATGAAGGATGTGCAGGTAAAACATTTTTATTTACTATGAACTTACCCACATTCATTTTTTTCCCTACATGAGGTGGCAAGGTGTATTTGCTGTGCTTACATCAGTAATCATCCTTTAGGCATTGATGAGGTTGTGTAGCCTGAGGGTAACTTTGTGATAGGGTTTTCTTTGCTTTGCATGGGAGACTAAAGCTAATACCTCAGTAAATCAAATTTTTAACCCTTTTCTCTTTGAACTGAGAAATGGCTATTATATGAAGAGAATTCTGTCAAATTTGATCCTACCATGATATTGTTAATGAAGTGATCTTATAATTTTAATACTATTTTAGTTTTGCACATTTGCTATGATTGAATAAGCCAATTGGGAGACATGTTGCCTATTTCCTTTTAAACTGGCGATTTGTTATTGTATGAAGAAAAAGTTTATAATAGTTTGATTCTACCATGAAAATCTGTATGAAGTGAACTTGGATATTTACCTTTTCTTTGTGAAGATGCTGTGATTGAACAAGCAAGCTGGGATACTTCTAAAATGAGGTCCAAGCTTGTCCGTGATTTGGATGAATATGTTGCTACTGTTCGTGCTGCCAAATTGGCTGAACTTACTTCCAGTTATGAGGTATTACTTCCAGTTATCTATAATGTCTTTGTGATGTGCTTTTTTTGGGAAACTTACTGTGTTGGATTTTTATTTAAATTGGGCCTGTATATAGCTTTAAGCCCGTAACACCTCTTTTTTCCTCATTTTGCGAATTCTTATGAGCTACTGTAAAGATCTTTAGATTTAAAAAAGGTTTAGAGCTACCGATGTTCTCTAGTTCCCTATCCAAATTCCCTTTTTTTTAAGAATAAATCTATAAAACCTTTTCAAGGAGAACTTGAGAGCTACCAATGCTCTCTATCTCCTTATGTCAATTGAGCAACATCTAAATAGGTTTTGCTGGAGCCTGAAGTTGGGTGAAATGCTTGTAGTCTTGGCCAGTCTTAGAGCTGATTACCTTGCAAAAGAAGATAGAGGATTATGCCATTGGAATTGGGTAAAACCTTTCATCAAGCTTTCTTATCCTTCTGAATATATCCATCCTAAGCCCTTCTAATTCTTTCCTTCTTTTCAAAATTATCGTGTAGAGTGAACCTACAGTAACTTTCACAATGATATAGCCATATAGTTCTTGAATGTCCTTGGTTAAATTTATTGTGGAATAACTAATTCTTTCAAGCTTCATATTCTTGTCTACATACACTGTTAAAATTGATCTTTAACATTTTATTTAACGTGCCCAATGCAGGCAAAATTAAACGAGGCTCTTGCAGGGCCTGTTGAGGCACTTTTGGATGGTGCAAATGATGAGACCTGGCCATCAATTAAAAAACTTCTTCGACGTGAGACTCAGTCAGCAGTTTCTGGCCTAGCTAATGATCTTTCTGGTTTTGACTTGGATGAGGCAACCAGAGGCAAAATGTTAGCAAGATTAGAGGATTATGCAAGAGGTGTGGTTGAGGGAAAAGCCAAGGAAGAAGCAGGAAAGATATTGATACGTATGAAGGATAGGTAAGGGCTGAATATTATGAATGTGCAATTTTACTAATAAGAATTCATTTCAGTTTCTTTGAGAGCGCTGATTATGATTTTCCCCTCCCCCTTTTGTTTAGATTCACAATGTTGTTTAGCCACGACTCCGACTCAATGCCGCGGGTTTGGACTGGGAAAGAGGATATTAAGGCTATTACAAAACTTGCTCGTTCTGCGGTATGATGTTTTGGTGATTTGCTATATGTATTTGGTTTCCTCATTATAATATATAATGTTATACTAATCTACATTTGTAATGCAAAATGCTTTTGCAGTCCCTTAAACTGCTCTCTGTTCTGGCTGCAATACGGTTGGATGACGAATCTGATGATATTGATAAAACATTAGTTCTTGCTTTAGTGGATAAAAGTAATTCTACTGACAGGAGTCTGACAGTGTCAGATCCGCTAGCATCAAGCAGCTGGGAGAAGGTGTGCTTCTTTTACTCTTAAATGCTGTTAGATTAATATATTGTTTTCACTTTCAAATTTTCATTAGATGCATTAGCATAGATGGTAAATTACTTAGGAGCTCAAATTTGTGACTTGCTATGTTGCTTAGAACCATATGCTTCTTGCAACTTACTCCCTCCGCTCCTAACTAATTGACACATTACTAAAAATGGCAAGGACCCGCTAATGTTAAATTGTTTTTCTATCTTACACAATGGCCCACCACTTTTAAGGTTATATTAAAATAATCCCCACAACCCACTCGAACATTCCACTTACTTCACTTTACAATAAACAATTCAATAAAACTACCCCACTCAAACGTCTCTTAAACTCCGTGCCCATTTCAATGTGTCAATCAAATGGGAACGGAGGGAGTAATTCTTTTAAACTAATCTCATACTTTAATTGACTAGCTTTTGTTCAAGGATTGTTTGGTACTTAGGTGGTGGTGGATTTGACTAAGTTGAGGTCAATCTCACACATGCAACCTTAGTTGGAGAGAGATTCATGTATGAAACGATTTGGAATACAAAAGATATGGAATTGATTGTGTTAAAGAAGCTATAGAACCTGGGGGAGGGGGGTTGGTGTGTTGGCGAAATGATTGGATGTATTGGACTCATTTTAAAAGGTGGCATTAGGGTCCATTGAGTTTGTATAACAGTAAGTCGGTGAGGTTGGGTAAAGTCGTGGAGGTAGTGCTCTTGGCTTATTGGGAGCTTGATGAATACCGAGGACATATCTTTGACCTTGCTTTAGCAGGATTACAACTGGGTGGTGGTTGTGGAGGGTGTTATTGGTTTAAGATTTTATTCGATTCCAAGCTCTTTTTACAATAGACTTGTAGATGGTAATCTTTCTTAAATTTCTTCTTGTCATTATTAATTATGCCCATCACGCATGAAGAACTTTCTGTTTGTCTTTAGTACACCTGGGTCAATTTCAGCTTGCGCATAACTGATTGCAATTTGTGCAAAGCACATGTTTAATGGGGGTAATTGGTAAATCTGGAAACTAAGATTTGGCAGTAGGAACTTCCTGAGACTGAATTTGTACTTTTGGAGTTGCATCCAACGGTCTAATGTACTTTGGAGCGTTGTATGTCAATGTGTGGCTGCATCTAAGTTTGGGTTATCATGTACTAAATTTCTCTTGCATGTCAAGCTAAATAGTTGAGGACTTGAGCCTGTATTATTGATGGTTTGCTGTCCAGCAAAAAAGCCCATGCTGGGAAGCTCCCAACTTGTTCTAAGAAAGCTTACTGAGTCTGCACTCATCAGTTCGGTCTAGTGTTCTACTGTTTAGAATTGTGTTTTAGAGTAGTTATTTTACTGAAATTTGTCACTGCCTTTTTTGTGCTGTTTGAAATTATAGGGAAAAAGGTATTTGCTGTCTATGACTAGTCATCATTTGAAATTATCACCCCAGCGTCCATGACAGCTCTATGATTTGAGTGTAGGTTCCATCATCGAAGACACTGATAACTCCTGTCCAATGCAAACAATTGTGGAGGCAATTCCAGATGGAGACAGAATATACTGTTAGTCAGGCCATTGCTGCTCAGGCATGAATTCATCTCCTTGAGCTCTTCAATTATGTTCTTGTCTGTTATTTTGTATTACCAATAACAAAAGCAGTTACTTTGACCTGCTGATTATTTTCTAAAGTAGCGTCTGTGTACCAGAGCTTGTCTTTTTCACATATATTGCTATCTTTAATTTCTCAGGAGGCCAGCAGGCGTAGCAACAATTGGTTGCCACCTCCATGGGCAATTGCTGCCATGCTCATTTTAGGTTTTAATGAGTTCATGACTCTTTTAAGGTACTACTTTCTCCATATGTTAATTAATTTCTCCATTCATTCTTTTTCTTTTTTTGCTCACTGTTAGTGTTTCATCTTGTGTCAGGAATCCTCTTTATCTTCTCGTCCTCTTTGTTGCCTTTCTAGTAAGCAAAGCATTGTGGGTGCAAATGGATGTATCAAATGAATTCCGTCATGGCGTTGTAAGTTTTATTGGTCAAAATTATATTGATTGAAGTCTCTTTTGTGTAGTGTACTTGTATTTTTGCTTTTGCTTATTGTATACAATTGATAGGACCTCAGTTATTGCATCTCTGATCAGTCAGGCTATTACAGTTCCTAATTTTATTGTCAACTGCTATATTTCATGAGGATATGAAGTATATGGATTTACATGAGGATGAAGCATTGGATCGTAAGGGATGGAGGAGGAAGATTTTAATGGATGACCACACGGAATAATCAAATTTGGTTCTTGTAGCCGACCCCAATTATGGGATTAAGGCTTTGATTGATTGATTGCAATATTTCATGATGTCAGAACTTGAATATATTAGAGTGATGTTGGAGACAGAAATGTAGATGTAGCATGTTCCTCATGTCTAGAAAGTAAATTGAAGGAGAAAAAATGTAGCATTTGAGCACTACTTTCTGTGTTTTCTGTATATTGTTGTTTTGTGATTTGTCTGTGCACTATGTTAGCCTGATTCTGTGGTTTTTTTTTTTCCCCTTACAGCTGCCTGGATTCCTTTCCTTGTCAACTAGAGTTTTACCCACTGTTATGAACATGCTCAAAAACTTAGCGGAGCAAGGAAACAGACCAGCAACTGCTGGTGCTCACACAAATCCACCCCTAGCAGCTAACAGCTTCAGAGGTGGTGTAAATTCTGACGGTGTTTCATCGACTGGTTCTTCCCATGTAACAACAAATGAAAACGGAACAGAGTATTCAAGTGCTTCAAAGGAAGATTAGATGGATGAGTTTGATTGCATGGAGGAAACGTTCTGAGACTCTGATTTACCCCTATAAGCTTGTGCTGCTTCTTAATCGAGGGATGCAGATTTGTACTTGGTCATATATGCCTACCATTATAGCGAGCTGTATGAAACACAGATGATGATTGGTTGGAGGCATCGATTTTTGTCTACATGCCACATGCACAGGTCCTGGGTCTCTAATGGAGAACCCGTTGATATAATTTTTTTTTTTCGTTTTCCTTGTTCTCTTTTTCTCCCCCCTCCTCGCGTGTTATGGGTCTGTTAGATGATGATCCTGTATGGTTTGTGGCTTAGGGTTTTGGTTCATATGTCTAAAATGGTTGTGCCTCAGCTTGTCATTTTTTTGTAAAAGTTCCATTGTATCTTGAAAAGAAACTTTCTTACCTAATACGTAGTAGTTGAGATCTTGAGAATGATATGAGCAATTATATAAGTGCACGGATATATTGGATTAAGATTTGTTATCTAAAGAAATCTGCTCTGCTTATTACTTATTTGATTTTTTTTTTTTTTTTTTTTTTGACTTTTTATTTTCTCAGTTCTCACCCAAAACTCAGAAAACCAACTAATACACTGAGTGTTAATTCATCTCAAATGTTTCATAATTAATTTGATTTGGTAAAATGAACGCCCTTCGATACTTGCTGATGCACCAGAGGGAGAAAAAGAATTGGAGGTGAAAATGATATATATATATTTTTTTTTTCTTTTCGTTCCTCTAATATTGTCCCATTTGATTGGCAATCTTAATTAAGGAATTGAGTTAAACTATCACAATTAACTTTCACTTTCATTTATGAAACAATCTTCTAAATTTCAGATGAATTTTGTATTTCGATTTCCTAGTATTATTAACGGTACGTGAATTTTTTTACATGTATTAAATGGACAATGAATCCGGAAATTACAATTATATTGAAGCAATTATAAGTATTGTACAAGTATAATTTATCCATTGAGCATCTTATCCTAAGTTGAGACAACCAATAGCACAATGCCATGTAAGCAACAAATGAATATAGTTAATCTAACATCAAGTTAGCCACACAACAACTTTTGTGGTTGTGATCAAAATAGTAGCATCCCTCCATTTTTAAGATCTTTCAGACAAACTTCTCCCCACTAAAAATTTATTGAGCAGCTTTAATAATTTCCTATTGTTTTGGAAAATAATACTTTGAAATAATCTTCAATGGCATCAGTTGTAATGACTTCTCTTCCGCAGTTCACTGGGCTTAGACCCCAGCAAGCTTCATTCCCGGTTAAGAGCTTGGTTTGTGTTTATAACTCTTTCCTCTTTCTCTTGTTACTTCAAATTGCATATTACGCTTTTATTTATGAATGTTATATTTTAATATATTTACTTGTTGCGTTATTAGTATAAGATTGCATGATTTTATCGGGGTTTTTGTATCTAGCATTGTTGTACAAGGATTGTGTTGCGACTTGTTAGTATATAAGTAGCATGTTAAATTGTTGTAAAGCTTAGAAAGTGATTTACTGAAACAATTCAATTGATCTGATTGTTGTACATATTTTGCAGTCAGCAGCTCTGCCAATGAGGGGCAAAGGAAAGGGTGCATTGGGTGCACGATGTGGTGATTTCATTGGCTCATCCACTAACTTGGTAAGTTGAAGCTCATCTATTGTTCCTGTACATATATACTCCGTAGTAAAGATTAATTTTCTTATGCCTCTACTGTATGATTTACTCCCGAACTCCTCCGAATTGAGTATATATGAAATATGACACGATTTCACTTAGAAACCATTTATTCTAGGTGGGTTATTCCCACTTCTCGAGTTTAAAAGAAAAAAAAAAACCAGCTAAGGAATATTGACAACATTTTCCGGACATCCTAATACTCTCCTTGCGAGTTGTGTGGAGTTTGTGAACGGATGGAGTATGAATATTGATACATGATTAATTAACGTGGGTGATGGACAGATAATGGTGACCTCAACAACACTAATGTTGTTTGCTGGAAGATTTGGGCTAGCACCATCAGCCAATAGGAAAGCAACAGCTGGTTTGAAATTGGAAGTAAGAGACTCTGGACTACAAACTGGTGACCCTGCTGGTTTTACACTTGCAGACACTCTTGCTTGTGGCACTGTTGGTCACATTATTGGTGTTGGTGTTGTACTTGGTCTCAAGAACATTGGGGCTATTTAATTAACCTCTTCTTAATTATGTGTTGGCTTAAGCTTGTAAAATACAGTACTCATTTTTAAATGTTACTCGTAATGTGCATTATGCAATATCTCGATGTTTATAAACTTACCAACTTGTTTATTTTATGATAAGATTGATTCATTGATAAATAGTTGTGAAACGTCTACAGAAGGATTTTAATCTATCTAACATAAAAATGTAACAAATGAATCAAATAAAAAACTCCCTTCAACACAGCTGCGAGCTCTACATTTTGTGTACCATTTTCATAATACTGTGATTTACACGCTTTTTCAATGAAATGGTTTATTGATCTATTGTAGTGGTGAAGATAATTTCTGCCTTATTTATCTAGTTGGTGTTGTATTTCCTCGAATCAAGCATGTGTTTAAGGAGGAAACATAAAACTTTACAACTTCAACTGTCTTCAAGTCCCAAAAACAAAAAATATGGCAACTTCTAGGTCTTGAAATTTGTATTTACTATGGTGATTCAATCTCATTATTCAAAATACAATTAAAACTATTGCCTACAAAAATTAAACTGAAGGAATATCAAATGATTTACGCATGCATCGTGTGTAGACCTGTTCAATGGGTTAGGGGCCCATTTAAAGCTCTGACCCAGCCCTTTTATAAAAGGGTTTTATCCATCCAATATTTAAATGGGACGGGCTTTAAAGAGTTATTAAAGAATGGGCTTTTAAAGGGTTGAGTCTAATAAAAAGGGTTGAAAGTGGGTAACTCTTATGAGGCTTTTTTTTATCCTAATTTTACTGTTTCTAAAACTTCCTAACACCAAATTATGATACCTTGAAAATAAAAATTCTCAATTTCCCCCAAATTATGAACCCTAAAAAAAAAAATTCCTAGATTCCTAACGTCAATCTTCTTGCTGCTTCTCTCAATCTTCAATTTATCACCCTTCATTGAATTTTGGACTAATTGTCACTCGTCTTTCTCTCTCTTCACTACAGCGCCCTCCAAAAATGGCGTCCTTCACACCGACCAAATTCCGTCCTTCTACAACCCTTTGGAATCTCCTAAAACCACCACTTCCATCTTTTTCTTCTTCTTCTTCACCGCGCTCTTTATTCGCCGATTCTCTTTAATTTCCACTTCTAGAACTTTCTCTACCAATGTTATCGACGAATCTGAAGTTCCCGCTCCCAATGATTATAGGTACTTACTCAATTTTTTCTATGTATGTTGTAATTTTAAGAATTTAGAGTTTTTTGGGGTATATTTAGTTATTTAGTTTGGAACTGCGGAGAATTGAACTGGGGATTTATTTGGAACTTGCTAATTTAGAATTTTGATTTGGGTTAATTTTAAATTGTAACCCTTTTGAAGTTTTGACTGTTGAATTGAAAATTAGTATACAATTCTTTGTTTGTATAATTGTGTGCTGCTGTTTGTAAGTTTTTTTTTAGGGATTATTTGCTTGCTTGAATATTTTTGAAGAATACTTTGATTAATTAAATGAATGAGCAGGTTAAGAACAATGCAAATTCCATTCTTAGTCACTAATTGTCACTTTTACTTAATGGTGATAACTCTCATAGTACTATAGTAGGTGATATGAACTAATTTCATAATACAATGTGCTGGATTTCAAATTTTATTGTCCGAGATTTATACTATACTTTTCCAGAGTTTTACAATACCAATATATTTGCTTGTAATTTTATTTCTAAGGCCCTTTATAATTCTCTTATATTGTATTTACTTCATGATTGTTGTAGTTTGTTTATACATTTTGAATGGACTGGGCCGGATTGGGCTTAATGGCCCATGGACAAGATCGACCCATTTCGGATTAGGCTTGGCCCGACCCATTTCATATAAAGCCCGGCCCAGTCCGGCCCGTTGCACAGGTCTAATCGTGTGTTTATAAGGCTATTGTTTTCGCCTTGTCGGATTAATTATATGGCTATTGGCTACTTGAACCCATGAATATAGCCCAATTCCGTATCCTATTTTACTAAGCTCTTTCTCCATACAACACAATCTTTAGGTATTATTTGATTGGTATGGGATTTTATTTCTCATATGCAATTGCATTTTATTGGAATTAAATTTCCACATTCAATTTTCTTGAAGTTGCATAAATTTGTTTGGTTGTTAAGAGGGAATTTGCAAACCATGGGAATTTTGAGTTACAAAGAGGGGACTTGGTAATTTAATTTCTACATTTTTTAGGCATCAGAAATTCCCATAAATTTGCAATTCCTACACATTTCACTTTTTATAGCCAACCAAACAAATCACCCATTTCTAAATTCCCATGAATTTTCAATTCCCACGTTTGTTTTGTGTAACCAAACAAGGCAGTACAATGGTATATTGGTATGCTATGATGTCAACTAACTTCAAGTCTTCAACCTTAATATAAACCAAACAATTAAAAGGGACTAAAAGCAATTCCCCATACATGTGTGAGAAAACTAACTAAGAATCAAATTTTCATTTGTTATTTTCAAGTGCTCTCAAGTCAATCACTTGTTTTTATCTATTTATTCTTTTGAAAAGAAGTTACTTCTTTTTAAAACGTGCAACTTTGTTGGTGATTGTATGCCAGCTAAATTGCGGCTAATTAAAATGTACCAATCATATTACTTGGAGTACTTAGTATGAGTATTAATCTCATGAATTATTTCACGTACAATTAAAAGTCAACGGATAAACTACTCCAAATCGTCGATTTCTACTCCACCACAGATTTAACCCATAATATACCCCTCTAATTGACGAAGTAAAAAATGACACATGACACAAGTGTCCTAAATTTAATACAATGTACCTAGTTGATACCAAACGAAATGTCAGACCATTGATAACTTAAGAGGTAATGTGGTAAGTGCTAGACCACATTAACATGTGGGGAAATATAACTACTCTTTGCATTCACTTGCTTGTCCCCAAATAGCTACCCATTAACTTACTTAACCAACCATATTTAATCTACTGCTGTAATCCGTATAATTTCCTCCCCATTATTTAATATTTATGCATATCACACGTTAAAACATCAGATCATTTAATTTTGTTTATTTAACTTGTTTTACCTTCCAAATTCCTTGAAATTTATTCTTTTTGATCCTACCGTCTTTGAAAATTTGTTTGATTTCAGTCAAGTGACAGGGTGACACGTACGAGGCTATCAACCTAGGGCTCAAAACTTGAGTAGTAATAATGAAAGTATATTATTCATATCACATTCAGTACGTGTTGCATTATATTTTTCACTGTGTTGCACAACAAACTTAAACTTAGTACCAAGTACAAATAGATAAGAGACTAGTACTTATGTATTGATATATTTTTGTTTTGAGAGATAGTGTAGTTGTAGTAGATGTAAAAGTAAATGTAAATTGAACATTGTTTTTGATGAATTTATTTTGTTTCGAGATGTTATGTGCATCAAGAAAACCTTAAAACGCCTCTACTATGTATATTATCAAGAACTTAATTAAAACACCTCTATATTTATATTAAAGAAGAATATATATCAAAAACTGTCTTGGATTAAGGTTAGCTTTGGGAAATTGCATGCATGCATGCATAACTTATAAATATACAAGCAAAAAGGTTATGCTTTGATTAGTTGTACATGCAGCTTAACAGCATGCACTAAGAATTTAGTATTAAGTACAGATAGATGGACTATCTAGTATGTAATAATATACACCTAACAATGTTTGAGAAAACTATAAAGTCTAGTTCATTCCAAGAAGTTATTATTATAAATTATCGCCTCCTATATATGTTCATCAAGAAAACCTTAGAATGCCTTTATATAAATGAAATACAAAATACTTCAAATATATATGTAGTATTTTTTAAGAAAATAAATTAAATAAACCTCTTAAGAGTTGGGTTTTGGGAGTTGCATGCATAACTATAGTATAGAAATAAAACAAAAGGTTTATGCTTTGATTAGCTGTACACAGTTGAGCCATTAAGTTTTTTTGGTTGGGCCTCTCATGCATGTAGGACAACCCACAAGAACATTAGAAATATTATTACAACTTCAAAATAAACACATTTAATGCAATAATAATTTTGGTGGGTCACAATATTAATTTAATTTTCCAAATTTGTTAAACTGTTTAATGGAGTAACAATTTAGTGGAGAGAATAATGCCCTCTCAGGAAGGTGAAAATATACTTGTAATACCTCTGGCATACATTTTGGATTGAGTGTAACTTCTTTGATATGTGCTGCATTCTTTCTATATATAAATAAATAACAACATTATACTTATTTTCATTTTTCATGTTTACTCTATTTTTTCAATTTATTGATGGGTTGTTGTGATTTAGTTAGTGGACCATGTGGTTAAATTAGTTGGTATAAGATATAGGTGTATAATTAATAATCTTATAGCTAGAGATCCTACATTTATTTTAGAAAGAAACATTGCAATCAAGCAAGGAAAAAAAAAAACTTAAAATAATACACTCTACTGTATATATGTTGATTAATTTATGAGCAATTTACATTAAATACTTGTGCAATCTATAAGTAATTTATCCTAATTTTATAAGGTTTTCCTATACATAAGGATTTAACCCCTTGAAAAAAATTATGCATGCTTTGTTTGGTTGGCCAGTGAAGATATATTCTGTACTATGCATAAGTTTCAAACTATGTAAGGAATAATTTCTCGTGAATCGTGATCCAATCAATATTATTGTTTTGATTCACACGTGTTAATATGGAGCTATATATATACGTAAATATATATTGTGTCATATTCCGTATTATTGTACCCTCGTGCTAGATTGAGCTAGGCTTGGAATGAATTGACATTCAGCTCGATGATGCCTATCATTGAGCACACAAGTGTGTAGGTAAACAAACCTAGAATTGGTACATCCTTGTGTATGTCCAATACACAATAATTGGCATTTGGATACTAATTAATATAATGAAATGACCTTTAAGTCCCATATTCAATCTAGTATTATTAGATCTATGTAATATATAAAGAGAAGTGGTGTTTTTGTTTGGGAATTTTTGAGTGGACCATTTTACCCTCTCTAAAAAAATTTATTAATATTAAAGAAATCAAAATTTATTTAAAGTTTAACCTTAAAAAATAACTTCCAATTTTTAATTTATTTTTTTATTTTTTTGGACAGGAACTTCCATTTTTAACTGCTCCATAAATTTAGAAACATAACTTCTCTTATGGTGGTTATTTTTTCTCAAATCAAATAATTCCTTCAAGTGTAGTTATGTTAAGCTGTATATTAGTTTAATTTGGAAATATTTATTTGATGATATAAATTTGACACTTGGTGTTTTAAAAGTCAGAGTTTGTAATTTTGCATATGATTTTTCAGCTTTTATATCTATCTATGTACTATATAAAGAGAAGTGGTGTTTTTGGTTGGAAAATTTTGAGTGGACCATTTTACCCTCTCCAATAATTTATTATAATTAATACGAAATTAATTATATCCCGGTCAAACATAATTTCAATTGCATCCAATGGCTACCATTTATCTCGGTCAAACATAATTTCAAAAATAAAATTCCAGCGTTTTCTCTCTCCTCCTTCATTTTGACGCGCTATTTTCTCTCTCCTCCTTTCTTTGTTCTCTGCTCTCTTTCTCTTTGCTATTTGCTATGATTCTTCATCAATTCTTCTTCAAACTCCATTGATTCTTCATCAAGGTGATATTCGTTGATTTTAGTTTGATTTTCGTTTTTTTGAGTAGTTATTAAGTTGTTTTTAGTTTTATTTTTGCTTTATTTTCGTTATCTTACATTTTTCCGTTTTTTTGGAAACCTAGATATCATTGCTTATTTGTGCTATTACGTTGATTTTAGTTTGATTTTAGGTTTACTTGAATAATTATTAAGTTGATTTTAGTTTTATTTGAGTAATTATTTTTTTTATTTGTGTTTTAGTTTGATTTTTGTTTGATTTTTCGTCTTAATTTCTTCAATTGTGTTTAATTTTTCTGCTTAATTGTATAAGTTTGTACTCAATTATTTCAGCTTAATTTTATCAGTTTGTGTTCGATTTTTTCAATTTCTTCATCAACTTTCTGAAATTTTGTGTTCAATTTCGTTGTCATACATATATTCTGAGAAGATGGCATAATTGTTTCAGCAACTCGACCTAAATTGTTAAAGTTGTCTTCTTCCTGATTAAGTTCTTTCAACAACTCGACCTAAATTATTTATTTATTTATTTTTAATTGTAGAACTGTTCAATGCTATATATGGATTCTTCGGTTGCTATGGATTCTACTAATGCTAAAGATTCTACGGCTATACCTTTGGAAAGGAAAATGTACGTGTTTTCTTATTTGCTCATTTTATGTTTTCTTAGACAGTATAATAGTTATTGTTTGGATAAAACTTGCTCATTTTATGTTTTGTTGCTCATTTATGAAAAATCAGGTTTTTGATTTTGTATGATTTTGTATAACATATCTGATGAAATGTATGTATGAAATGTATGTTCTGTTTGGAGTCTTTGTTGAATTAGCAACTAAGTATTTGCCCATTTTACAAATGAGCAACTAACTATTTGCTCATTTGCTAAATGAGCAAAAAAACTGATTGCTCATTTCCCAAATGATCAAAGAAATGTTTGCTTATTTTACAAATGAGTAAATAATTATTTGCTCATTTCACAAATGAGCAAAGAAATGCTTGCTGATTTAATGAATGATTAAAGAAATGTTTGCTCATTTGACAAATGAGCAACTAAGTTTTTGCTCATTTGTCAAATGAGCAACTAAGTTTTTGCTAATTTGTTAAATTAGAAACTAAGTATTTGCTCATTTAACAAATGAGTAACTAACTATTTGCTCATTTGCTAAATAAGCAAAAGTTTGATTGCTCATTTGACAACTATTCAATAGATAATTTATCAGTCTATGCTTCTCTATCATAACATACTCCAGAACCTCCCCTAATGTATCCTCTTCACTACACCTCCAAAAAAAAATCTATGTGATATTTTACTTTTTTTTTAATGATTTTGTATGAGCAGGAACTCTATGAAAAGGAGTGTGCTGCCGATGTTGGTTCATCAGGGGCTGTAGTGGATGTAGAGTCTGAGAAGCTCAGTGCATCTATAAAGTCATAAAACAAGCAGAAGAGATTCAAATCAGTCGCTACTAAGGGTAAAGGAAAAATAGGGGAAGGAGGGCAGATTAGGAGGTCAGGCAATTGTTATGATGTTCTTAGGATTTGCATAGAACAGTATTAGTATCAGTTTTTATGATGTTCTCAATGGCACAAATGTGTTTGTGTTAATCTTGTTATTATAACCTTTAGTATGTTTTGTAATGATAAACAAATTAATAATTAGGCAAACTTATTAAGACATACTAAAGATTTTTGAGCTCATTAAATCTTTGTCATTTTCGAGCTCCTCTAAACTTACACGCAATGAGCAAAGATTTGTTTACCATAATCATGTAAGTAAATTTGGAGGGGGTAGTCGTGCACGCATTATGTGCGCCTCTAAAGATATTAAGAATAAAGCTTACATGATGAACGATGATGTTAACATGATTGCATACGCAAGGTCTTACTCAGACAATTGTCCTTCACTTTTTTTTGGATTGTGTTTTTCATTTTGAACTTACAATTTTGTTTTCTTTTATATTATGAGTTTTTAAAGACAAATTAGCCACTAAATTATTAAGACTAAGTTTTTTCTTTTCTTTTCTTTTTTCAAGGAACACACCTTATACAATTAACTAGATTATTTCTCATTTTATTAATAACATACAGTTGTTTAACATGTACTTTAATCAACTTAAAGCTTTCTTTATCCATGTGATGCAATGATAGGTTGTCGTACACCTGTCAAAAATAAATTCCTAACAAAACCAACTAACAATGTAGTAGGATAAGTAGGGTCGAATCCACAGGGAGATGATATTCAATCTAACTTCTACGGATTTGGAGAAACTAAACTATGTCACGAAATTCGGGATAGAATGGTAGTCTAAACTAAAATAAGAACAAAAATAATGAAAAGGCCTAGGGTTATGGTTCACCATGCTTATGGTTTTAAATCTATCAAAATACCATTAAAAATTCAATCAATTAAGTATCTAGAGCAATTGCTAAGCCTACTGTCGGGTCTTAACGCTCTCAATTCAACATATGTAGTTCGGTCACTAACATAATCAGAATAACTAATTGTAGGTAAGCCTTTAAAAGTAATATCTTTCGATTTCAAACTCTTATTAACAATAATTAATCAAACAATTGATCAGGTTGCAAGATTAACAATAAAACACTATCAATTAGAGAAATCAATAATTAAAATAGCAACAACATCAATCAAGATTCATTGTGTAAACATGAATTCCCAAACCCTAGAAATAACTACTCAAACATGAAATAAATAATAAAAATTAAATATAATAAATAAGGCATAATTAAAGTAAAGAAATAAAATACCTCTATGAATTAATGTAACAAACTCAAGAGCAATCCAGGGAGGATGGAGGAACCCATGGAATTGCCCAAGAGAAACTATGGCTAGAGAGAAAAGAAAACGAATGTATAAAAAATAATAAAAATCATAAGGAGAAAATAATATATCTCCTTAAGTATTTATAATTCTTTAAATTCTAATCTAAAAATAAATAAAGAAAAGAAATAAAAAAAAATATAAATTACACAAGTTGTCAAACGATTGGACGATACAAGATGACGTGGCACGAAGATGCTCGATGGAATCGAGGGCCAAGCGAAGGACGTGCTGTGATGCCCCTTACTTGCTGCTGTCGTAGGTAAACTGGAGCTATAGCTCCCTGGTCGAATGAGCTATCGCTCACTGCTGCTGGCCTATGCGAGCTAGCTCGCGAGTTCTCGCTCGCTCGCACGTACTGCAGGCACAATGTCAACTTCACGGGCTTATAGATTCTGATTTATATGTTTTATATAGGCGTGTGACCTGCCGTTGGAAAGCTCTTTAAGTCTAGTTTCCAACGCAACTTGAATCACTCCAATCCAACCTGTATAACACAAGTTATAATCAAAAGAGTGAACAAAGGTCAATTTTGACATATCGTTCATCATCGTTTAACTTCGTTTTCAACTCAAATTCAATTCGGAAAGGCACTTAGTGATCCTTGTGAATGCTATGTTCATTTTCCATGCACACAATAATCAAAATCAACATCCACGAACATAGGATGTTCGATTAATAAACTCAATTCATCGGCTTCCATCCAAATATCATCCGAATTAACTCCAAACACTTCAAAGCGTCCAAATGACTATGAAATCACTTGAAACATTAAGAATAACACAAACGGAGCGTAATAGAGTACAAAACAAACAACTTATGAATTTGCAACCTAAAAAGCGACAAAAAAACCTAAAAAACAACTATAAACTAGCATAAGCGTGCCTATAAATCCTATATAAACGTGATTCATCATGCAAATATCTATTCATATTTTTAGAATCCAAGCTGTACGATATAAACAAAATTTAGATATTCCCTACGTCCATATTTGTTGTACGTTCTTTTAAGAAATTTATGACAAAAAACCTTAAAGTAAGAAGAACAATAGTGATCGAGGGTGTACTATATTGTGCATCATACGGTAGCTATACCAATTACATACTCTTCTAATTAACCTATAAAAAAAAAATTGTCAAAACTATTAAGGAAAATAATAGAAAAAAGAAATTCCAAATTACATTAAAATTGTGGACTAAAATGCAAAGACTGAATAATAAATAATGGTAGATATTATAATTAATGAATGTTATTTATCATACCAAATCCAGATGTAGCAACTTTATAGGACATATGGAGAATCCAAATCTTAAGTGACTGATGTGAGTATATATGGGAGCATACATAACATCTCATATTTTCTATTTGAAGATATATTGTATGAGGGAAAATGATTTTGACACACTAAAAAGTGATTTAGGCATATTGTGAGAACAAAGTTTTTTATGCTCCTCTTAATTATATAGAGGTGTGCCAATATCAATAATAGATCAGATGTGCCAAAATCTGTTTCCACTAACCTTGAGGTTTCAAGTTAATCCTTTTTTTTTAATAAAAAAATTAAGAACACCACTCTCTAAGAATAAATTAATATATACTTTAAATAAATAAATAATGTAAATAAATAAATGAGACTATGTAACTAGCTAGCTAAGTTCGTAATGTACTACTACTATATACGATGTACATATAAATTCATAATTTACATGTTTGATAAAGTATAATATGAAGTACTCTGTATATAAGATGTACATAATTTACTTGTTTAAATGCATAATACGAATTATATAAGATGTTTGATAATGTATAATACAAAGTGTATGTCCAAACACTATAAGTTTATAATTTATTCGACAATGCATAATATGTAGTTTATTTTATTTGATCATCATATAGGCTCGATTAGCTAGATTAAATACGGAGTATATACAAGAGACCTAAGCTAAAGAGAAATATGTGGTGATGAATTGAAGTTTAGTGTTGTATTGTTATTAGAGGCAATATCATCCAGAAAAAATATTGAGCAACAGAAAAAATTATTCTTCGAATTTCTTGGACCCCAATAAAATCATCTAAGAATAATGAAATGAACATGCAATATAACTATGCTCTGCTGTCCCCTCCAACAACCCTTTTCCAAATAAAATAAATAAATAAAAATCACAACAATAGGATGTGTTTGGGTCTACTAGAGTAATTGAGGTGTGACGCATGAAATAATGTCAATTAAATGTTGAGCAAATGCTAACGTAAAGATTGTAACTAACCTTTTAGCCAACAAAACACCGAATGTTAATATATGCACCAAACACTACCTCCACTCTCACCCAAGGTGGTGTGCCAATTTTTATGCTATTGAAAATGGATTTTAACTTTATAGCTTTTAAATTATGTCGATGACGTGTTCATAAAATATTCCTATTTTTTGGTTTCATTATTTAATGAATGTCGACTAGCTAAAAATTAAAAATAATCAAGTCATCCACTTATTCACTCTCTACATGTAAATAATGCTGAAGAAAAAACAGTAGGAAGTCTTTTACACAAGGTGAGTGTATGATGGATCATAGTTAAGTGAAACCATAATCATAAATGATGAACAACCTTCTCATTTCCCCGCTACTGAGTTGAAAAATGAAATATAGAGCTATATGGCTTTACTTTTTTGTGTCAACCAAACAAGAAATCCAAAATAAAATTCATGAGAAATTTAAATGCCCATTAAAAATTAAGCCAACCAAACAACACCCTAGACTCCTAAATTAAGAAAGTATGGCATTTCAAGCATTATGCATGAATGCACGATGGATGCTAACCTATGAATTGAATTCTCTTGACAATGCATGCATGCCGTCGCTGTTGTTGAAATCTTCTACTCCATCAGCAGTAAGCTACTATAGTTTGGGTTTTGTATTATTCCATTAGCTTGGAGTATTATTGTTTTATAGATGGCGGATTTACCCATTAATGACCTAATAAAATTGATCAGATGAATACTCAAATCAATAGAATTAGATCCATAGGCCATATGATTTGATTATAGGTTTTGAGTATATCCCTCTGTACATTTTCATCTATTAGACTAAGTTATAGTTGTCTTCCACGACAATATATACTTTGTGTATCATAAATAACCTAATTCTAATACTAGTGGATTGGTCCCATCACAAATCCTAATCAAATTACTCCATCATAGATTATGACCTAAAAACAAGGCTTTGTTTGCTAACCTATATGTGATTAAGGACAAATTCCTTAGAAGATACTCCCTTTGTCTCTATTTTTTGCCCCATTTGACTGTGCACAGTCTTCAAGACGCGTCTTAAAGCGTTTATATTTTTATTTTCATACACGTAAAATTATTAAAACGTGATATTAATAAAATATAATATGACAAGACCACTCATGACTATATTATTTTTTATAAACGTGTTACTCTATAAGCTCCAATCCAATGTTACAAGTCACCATCACATGATTTCACATTTTCACCTATGCTTTGTTCAATTCCTCCTCTGTTCATTGCACCCTTACTTCAATATCCATGAATCTAATGCATACTTTGATTATATTCATCCAACCTTCATTATCCTAATTTCTACTTTTTTCGTTTTATATCTATTATCTTTTTTATTTTTTTATTTAATAGTTCTCCTCTATTATTTTCTTTATTCTATCTATGTCAATTTTGTATTCATATTTTATTAGTTTGCACGTTGCATCCCGGACACTTGGTGTGACCCAATTGTATTTAATATTTCTCTTAATTACCCTATATCTATCTCCACCTAAAGTACTTGCATAGGTGTTTTCCTGCTTGAGTTGAGTACCTCTAGATGTGGGTGGGAGACTGGGAGTGTTCTCCATTAATAAGATTCGATCTAACCCTAGTTCTATGTAGATAAGGTTTTACTAAGTGAACCAAGTTTTACTTGGTAAGTTAGTTAGTGCAAGTCATTTATATATCATTATTAGATTAGACACCTGCATATAAACTGTTTGTAGTTTGGACAACTTAGTTTCCAATGATCTCATGTTATGATAGTATGATAATTACACCATTTTTTAAAAAGATCAAAGAAGATAGCCTCTTCTAGAAGATACAAGGGCATTAAGGACCACCCCCCCCCCCCCCCTCCCTTTATTGTATAGTAGAGAAAGTAGCATGGTTTATTTGTTTGAAAAGTAATTTTGTACAAGTACAGTACAATTTCCTACTTCATTCATGTAGCTAGCCTATTGTTTATTCAGAACACTCTAATTAAGCAAAAAAATAATTTTTACATTTTTTTTAAAGCCCTTTATGTTTAAATGAAGTATAAACGTATTTGAGACTTTGTTAAAAAAAATATTGCACCCCCTTCATCTTGTAAAGCTGTTGATCTGATGTAGCATGTAGCTTATTTGAGATGTAATAAGCGTATTTGAGATGGCCACGACACAAATAATTACACACTTAATTAAACAAACGATGGAGAGGAATCAAATAAAATTTTACACAAACATCATTCAGGAGTCGATGAGTAAATCAAGCGGCCAGCAATTCCTACTACAACGCTACCATTCATTACACCATTTAACATTCTTATACCTCTCCACATTTAATACCAATCTAACGAGTAAGAGTCAAGTAGAGCAACTCCGAACACACACTAAGCTACATGGTACTACTATTACGAGTATTCTAGTAACTCACACTCCTTCCGTTTTGCTATGTGTTATTCACTTGCATTTTACGTGATCTTCAATACATTGTTTATTTTGACCATTAATTTCTTTAATTTGTTTTTGCACTAGTAAAAATTATACATAATCGATACATTGAAAATTTATAACAATATGAATCTAATAAGATTCAATTTAATTGATAATGTTTTTTCTTAAACAATTAGACATGGTCAAAATTTTAAAAATTTGATCTTGTGAATAGTAATGGGTAGAACTCGAGAAAAAAGAGAGTAGTAATAGTTAAACTTTTTCCGAAAAATGACAAATTCAATATTTAAGCCTGCGTATAAGAAGATTAAAAACATATATATATTAAGAATTATTAAGTAATAGTAACACCAATTGATCCATAATTTCATAAACATTCTTAAAATTAAATTTAATATTTATATGTAACCCTAAAATTTGTGTAAATTATAATCGTTTTTTAAAATTTCAATAACTTGGCCTATTTAATTTCTAATATAATATATAAAAAATTTCTATGGTTCGAACGTTTTTATTTATTTTTTGAATAAATAATGAGAAAACCTAATCAAATTAAAAACTTGTTACAGATCAACTCAACCCAAGCTAGCGGGATAAACCCTTTAGATAGTGGGCCACCGTCCAAAGTGTGACTGTTTTGAAGGTGTATATAAGTTGAGAGGAGGCTAATGGGGGGAAGCCACAAGTCAGTTGCAGAGAAGTTTGCAGTAAGCTGCAGTCTACTTGTATTTTCTCTCTCTTCCTAACCTCATTCAGAATTTCAGTTATCAATATCCATTTTCCCTCTCATTTTGCCCCCTTTTCTTTTATTTTTTATAATGGGCTTCCCTTCTTCTCCTCATTTCTTCCTCACTTCTTTAATCTTCCTCTACTTAACAACCTCTGCTATTTCTTCTTCTCAAGGTCAACTCTCTCTCTCTTAAAAATCTTACTAGTATATCAAAGAAAATTATAATTTTATAGTAATGTTCTAGTATGCCATAATTGTATTTCATTTCTCTAATTAACTTTGACCCACGTTTTATATTTGTTTGTTTGTTTTTTTTGTTATTATTATTAGTGAAGGTTTTTTGGGATTGGATATAAGCTAAGAGTATTACAGTATTTTTGAAGGAACATCTTTTCTTTTTAAATTAGTTATTTTTAATAGCATTATAAAGTACATTAATATGGAAAATTAATTTTAATTTGCAGCTAATAGAAGAACAAAGTCGGAGTACAAGTACCCGTTTATTAGACGGGCGAGCACATTCTCATCATCATCAACAACACCATCGGATGGAGGGAAATCGTCATCATCAAGGATCGGAGGAGGGTATGACTACATAATAGTAGGGGGTGGGACGGCAGGGTGTCCCTTGGCAGCCACCCTATCACAACATTATAATGTACTAGTCTTAGAACGAGGAGGTGTTCCCTTTAACAACTTTAATGTGAGTTTTATGCAAAATTTCCACATATCATTGGCTGACACCTCACCAACCTCGGCTTCTCAATGCTTCATTTCTACCGATGGTGTTTTTAACTCAAGGGCTAGAGTTTTAGGTGGTGGTACTTGCATTAATGCTGGCTTCTACACTAGAGCTAGCTCAAGGTATGTCAATCTTCGACTCAAGTTAATTATATTTCTCATTTTAGATCGTCTTAATATATAGTTTAGTCTGTATTACTATCATAGAAACGTAATCTGATTCTATGTTTCATCTTGTCTTAAAGGAGTTGTCCATTTCTTATTGACATTTTGACATGTTATAGGCCATTGTGACTATGAATTGCGTGTCCAAATAAATTTCAATTAATGTTTGTGTGTGTGTTTTTTTTATATTATTATTATTATGGTTAGCGAATTAGAGTACTAAGAGGGCGGCTATAGCCCGATAGAAAATATGGCCACTAATTAATTATAATCACTTTTATTTCCAACCAACTACTTAAAGGTTGAATATTAACTTTTTCAATAATTAGAGTTCTAAAGCCTAGAAAAATAGTGATTAAATCGTACTAAAAGTCTAAAACACAATAATATGTACAACACTGGATCATTTTCCTTAGAAAACACATGCCAAAAATATATAATCTGATCTGCATTTTTTTTTTCTTTGTATAACAAACCTCGCATTATATGTATACACCCAAATAGTTACTGGTAACATAAGAAAGGGTAAATAAATTTGGGTAAAAAAGGGTAAATACATCGGTCAGTCAACAACCAATAAGTCTGCATTTTTCTTTGATGTCTTGATCGGTCAGTCAAACTTTATAAAATGTGACATAATTTATTACAACCAAGAAACTAATTAATACCAGGTTTCAATTAAGATTAAACAGCTGATTATGACTATTATATGTTGTTTATGTAGGATAAAGACCGTGCAAAAATCATTAATTTTCCTCGTGATAATGAAAGTTGTCACTTCAATTGGTCTTCATATCACCCTATAAGAAGTTCTTAATCAATGATATACGGAGTATAAAGTTGTAAACAAATAAACCTAAGCTGGCTGATGATCGTGACACTTTTTTGAGGACTAATAATTTGATTACAATTTCAATTCGTATTGTATTTATTATGAACAATAACAATATGCTTTATCTCAAACCGTCATTCTAATAAGCAATTTAAATATATTTGCTCACAAAACGTAAGCACTAATGGTTTTTCATAAATATATTACTCCGTACTATATATATATATATATAATATATATAAAAATATAAATATATATATATATATATATATATATTATATATATATATATATATAATCAAGGAATTGAATAGCGATACTTACCCTTAATTATTAACCGTGCATATATATGGTGGATGATGAGAAGAATTTAGTGAACCTGCATTTTTTTTACTTGAACACCACCTATCAATGGACGAAACAAAAGATCGAAACACCTTTGTGTATTCATACCTCAGATTCTCAGGTACCCAAAAATAGTAATTTACAACTCATATATTATAATATAGGCTAGCTTAGGTCCCCATCATTTTATTTGACAACTCATGAAATTCTCACTTGGTTAGCAATTGGGTGGGCTTAGGAATCACGAGGCCAGAATTCAATGACCATGTACACCTTTCACTTTTTATGAGACCATTTACAACTTTTATCTACCACTTTCATTAAAATAGAGGAGAAATTTATGCTCTCTGCTATGAGTAATTTCAACGTATAGGTAATGTAGAATAAATAGTTTTAAGCTATGATTTGGGAAATATGAAAAATGTACGATTTGGCTAATTAAAGTCTATTGGTTAACCTAGCTAGATTGACTGGTTTGTGGCGCACAAATGTGGTCATCTAAGGTTTTATTTAACGTTTTATCAAACAATATTAGATTATTAAAATGAAAAATGAAGTAAAAAAAATAACTATACAACTATTTATTTATCCTTTCTAATGAGAATATTGTACTTTTCGTATCCCCTTTTAATCAAGGGTTTCTTTACCACCTTACCAAATGTTAATTTTTAATGTATGTATATAAAAATATATACTTGAACATTTCAAAAAAATGAATATATAAAGTTAGAAGATGGTTTATCGTAAAAATAGTAAGTAGAGAGCAGTCGTATTCTTTGTTTGTTGCTATTTATCCTACCACTAATACATACCTAACATTCAACTCAACAACTACATTTCCTTCCTAATGCATGTGGCTCCTTTCCCTCCTACAACGTACTGGATAAGATCATCACCCTAATTACTTATATGCATTAATCATAATGTTGTACTATATTAGTATTGATTTTTATGTTAGGAAAATATAAACGTGCGTTGAAGTAGGATGCATATATGGCATGTAGTATATGTACTCACTACAGTTTTTTGTGCACACATTTTATGTTAGGAAAATATAAGCGTTGAAGTAGGATGCATATATATATATGGCATGTAAGATTCAAAACTTGGACAATATGCACTTTTGCATCGAATACTTCATGACTTAATCAAAAGTTGTGAAAATTAAGAAATGTTTTGATAACAATATACTAAGCAATTCAATTGATCAATACATTACACTAAAATAACTTCGTATTAACCACATGCATGATGATCAAATACATAGTGTATATATGCATCTTAAAACTGACCATAATTACTAATGTGCAGGTATGTAAAGAGGGTAGGATGGGATCCGAAGCTAGTGAATGAATCCTACCCTTGGGTTGAGAAACAAATTGTGCAAAAGCCTAATCTTGCACCTTGGCAAAAAGCAGTTAGGGATGCCCTCTTAGATGTCGGGGTCTCACCTTTCAATGGATTCACCTTTGATCATAAATATGGAACTAAGGTTGGTGGCACGATTTTCGAGGAGAGTGGCCGGCGCCACACCGCAGCTGAGCTCTTGGCTTCGGCCAACCCCGAAAATATAGACGTCCTCATCCATGCAACCGTCCAGAAACTCACGTTTGACACTAGAGGTATAGCACATAATATCATTACTAGCATATTTTCATTCATGTCTCACCACTAAAATTTGGAAGCTTAAAGTCTTTGTGTTTTTTGAAAATTTGGGTAAATTCTACAGTACAAGTAGTTGTCACATTGTTTCAATTAATTAATCGAGAGATGCATGACGTGATTTGATATAAACATCTTTTTCTAATAGTGTCTTATTCCTTGTTTTTATACATCAGTATCAGTTTATATAGAGTACTAAGTCTTTATGTTAATTCACACGTTTTTTTTCCCTCTATGGACCGACTTTTAAAAATATGGTGTATGTTTAAACAGGAAAAAGGCCAAAGGCGGTAGGGGTGATCTTCAAAGATGAAAATGGGAAACAACATGAAGCATTCATATCAAAAAGGAGAGGAAGTGAAATATTTGTGACAAGTGGGGCAATTGGAAGTCCACAATTACTTCTTCTAAGTGGTATTGGACCCAAAGAAGATCTCAAAAAATTGAAAATTCCACTAGTTCATCACAACAAGTTTGTAGGAGAAGGCATGCAAGATAACCCAATGAACACAATTTTTGTTCCGGTGAAGAATCATGTAAAGCAGTCATTGATTCAAACAGTTGGGATCACCAAGAAGGGAGTGTACATTGAAGCTAGCAGCGGGTTCGGTCAGGGGAGTGATAGCATCCAGTGCCACCATGGTCTTGCCTCTGCCGAGGTTAGTTTGTGTTTTTGTCACCACCTTTTCTAAATTGTTTATCATGCTAAGATCTTCAATTTTGAATCTATATTAGATTTTAGCTAGAAACACACTATGAGAGCAATTCCTATAATTGAATGAATGACTCATGGTCCTATAAAAAGCTCGATTATGACAAGACCATCAAATTTACTTCCTTTGTTTCAAAATAATTATACAATTTAATTTGTTTGAGATTTAATTTGCATTTAACCTAAAGCATTAATTGAGATTACTCTTTGATGTAATCACTTTTGAGTCAAGTCATTATAAATGAAACCAGTAAAGCTTTCCAATTTTGAGGTTACTTATGTTTTAGTCTAAGCAAGACGTACATCTTTTGCATGAATGAACAGATTGGTCAACTCCCTACAATTCCTCCAAAGCAAAGAACAAAAGAAGCAATTGAAGCCTACAAAGACACGAAGAAAGACTTACCCTTCGAAGCATTCAAAGGCGGTTTCATCCTAGAGAAGATAGCCGTGCCCAAGTCCAAGGGACAACTTAAGCTCATAGACAACAACGTCGAAAACAACCCGGCTGTCACCTTCAATTACTTCAGCCACCCCCAGGACTTACAACGTTGTGTCGAGGGCATTCGAATAATCGAAAGCTTAGTAAAATCTTCACACTTCATTAGCAAGACAGGGTTTGATGTAGAAACCACAGAAAAGTTGCTTAACATGAGTGTTAAGGCCAATATTAACCTAATCCCTAAGCAAACCAATGACACTAAGTCCTTAGAGCAGTTCTGCAAGGATACTGTGATTACCATTTGGCATTACCATGGAGGGTGCCACGTTGGCAGGGTGGTGGCCCCCGACTATCGAGTTCTCGGTGTTGATAGGCTACGAGTTGTTGACGGCTCCACCTTTACAATATCCCCCGGAACCAATCCTCAAGCCACTGTCATGATGTTGGGAAGGTAACTAATATAAAAATGCATGATTTTTTAGTCTTTTAATTTCTTAATTAACCTCGATTATTATTTCTCCTAGGAAGAATTATATGTACTAAATCAAGGGTTGTCGGGATTAATTAAAACGTTACAATGGTTGAAGTTTTACGAAAACAACCATTCTAAATACGTCTTCATGATCAACTTGTGTAGGTACATGGGAGTGAAGATCTTAAGGGAACGAATTGGAAAAGAAGCGAATGTTGTATAGGAAGTGAAGTGTAGACTGCGTAGTCGTCGGATTGTTGTGTTTGTCGGAGTTGTGGACGTTCGTACAAGTAGATTTATAGGTGTGTGATTTTGTTACTAGTATATTGTAATTCTTGGCAAGTATTTTTTAGTTTTTTGGGGTAATTCTTGGCAAGCACTTAAAACGTGTATAAATCTAGGCTTGCAGATAAGTAATTAGGTAATTATATTATTTATTAGATAACAATCATATGGTTAGGATGAAACTACTACTACTACTATAGTATTATTATACTCCATATATATGTTCTAGTGAATTGAAACTTGAAAGTGGCTCCTACCTTTCCTTTGTCAAAATAGACATTCTCTCTGTAATTCCTCTGTTCTTATTAGCACGTTATTGTACGAGGCGAAAATAAAAGCATGCTACAAATCGTTCATTTGTTGATGATTTTTGAATATGGCAATCAAGCTAATGCGGGTACTAATTAATTGTTGGGTTTTATTAAAATTGTATGTATGTGATGATATGTATGATTGTATGAGCCAATCTCACATGTCGTACATTGATTAGAATCAAGTGGGAGCTCAATGGTACGTTTCTAAGTGTCTCGCCTCCCTACAAAATTTGTTCATATCCTTATAGTAATTAAAATTCTGACTTTCAATTAATGTACACAGTGGCGGATCCAGGATTTGATTAATAGGTTGTCCCATCATCGTCCATCGACCACATATAATATCAAAAAATAGTCAAAGCTTGTATCATCGTCCATCGACCTTGTACTATACAAAACCTGAACTCTAAACCAAATCCCTGAAAGATCTCAACCTAAGTGTTCAACAATCAACACAAACTTGAATACACCTTTTTCGGGGTCTATGTCAATGCAAATCTACTTCCCTTGTACGGTATACATGGTCTCATGACAATTAGTCAATGTTTGTTCAAACAAATCTTGTGCTTTAAAACTCCAAGTTACCAGCATATATTCTACCTCAAAGCTCAGAAAGTCAGAAGCATTCATATCTATAAACATCATTTTCTATGGATGGCAAGCATTACCATTTGAACTAAAGTAATTTAAATGAACTCTATAAGACACTCCCATACAGTCACAGGAGAATTGTGCATAAGTCATTGAACAATGCTACCAAGACAAAGTTCACCCCTATTGGCCCTATTCAATCATCAACAGTCACCAATCCTTGATCAACTACCCATTAAGCTATAAAAATAACCCCTTTACACACATCTTATGCTAGGACTGGTCATAATTTAATTAGGAAGCTCAATTCAGCAAGCTATAGTTCATGTCAACTTACAATCAAAAACTCAGAAAAATAATCCAATCTAAGTAATAAAGGATGCTCTAGAAATGAGTCAATGCTAGTGAGTTTCTCAAAATTAGGAACTCAGCGGGCACTACATTGTCAATGCTCTATTTCTTAATATCTTCAAATTTCTGGAGCGTTCATCTTAAATTAAACCAGAAAATAAACATTAAGATATTTTGTCTCAGGTAATCGTACAGGGCTAAAGTAAACATTGCCCTCCCACATATCCAATCAGAGACTAGAAACTTCTTACCATAAATAAAGCTAGGTTCTGATCGAGCTTCTTCTACAATAAGACTCCAAGCAAAAGCACACCTGCAACTATCTCAATTAAGAGCTACTTAATATTCAGGTCTTAGTTGGGTATGTTTCTGGCCCCTACTTCTACAAAGAGTAGGCACTGCACGAGCACGACGTGACAGTGGAGGAGGAGGATTTAGAGTAGGCACTTTTTTAGTAAAAAAACTTGAAATATCTTGAGTTATTTTTCTTTTCATTCTGAAATTGAAGTTAGGTTGAATTAGATAAATCATACAAGTAGGGTTCTCTCAAGGTTATTAAAACTAATAATATCATAAAAAAAAAAACGCCCATTAACCTCAATTTCAGTCCACCCTTCAACCCCAAATCTCCAAATTAGCAATCACCATTCTCAATAGCTAATAAGCAAGTTTGACAACTATTATCATTTATCAATTAAACAGAAATAATTCTATAAGTCTATAATAGGGCTCAAATGGTCAAATATCCGGCCATAACTCACATTCACAAATCACAAATTCACAACATTCAAGCTCTAATCAAGTGACGATAATCAAGTCATAACATTCAAGCTTTTATAAAGTCATACAAATAATCAAGCACTAATCAAATCAAGAAATTTCACCCAAAAAAAAAAAAAAAAAACTCATACACTGTCACACTGATATAGTGATATTAAACATACTGATAATTTTGATTTAAACATTTAAATTGATGATTTCATATAGAAATATAGAATCTAATCTCTATAATCTTATTGCAATGTAATTATATAAATTAAAAGTTTAAAACTAACCTCAAAAAAATCGAATTTGGGGAGCCACTGCACGAGCACGACGCTAACAAACTCACAGACGGATTGACGATTTGACGGACGCCTCACTCATACCTGACGGAGAAGCACGAAAAGGCTGTCGGGCTGCCGGCGATACGGTGAACGGCGACGGGGCTTGGGTAATTGGGTGACTTTGAGACTTAGGGTTTCAATTTGGGGGAATTGGGGATTTGGGGATATTTTAAATCGTGAAATTGTGAAAATGAGGTTGTAAAGCCCAAAAAAAAAAAAAAAAAAGTTTGAGAGTAATGGGAGTCGAACCCGTATCTCATATGTGGTAGGATGGGGAACAAACCACCAGACTACAAGCTAAAACTCTTGATACTTAGTTTTTTTTTTTTTATAGAAAATAATAGGTTGTCCGCGGACCCACTATGACTACACGTGGGTCCGCCACTGAATGTACATTGAGGTAAACAGCCAAAACAGGGATACAAAGCTCTCTAGATTTATAATCTAAGCCTTATCACTCAAATACATGAATTCAATCTCTTTTTATAATAGGGTTCTTCTCTAATTTCTCTAATACGTAATTATATGTGTTACACTTACGAATATCTCGCGCCACATCAAAGTAAACAAGTCATTTGATTGTGCAATAAGTCTCTCGAGCAGGTGCTCTAGGCAAAGTATTCTAACAGATTGGACAAGCATGCCCCTACTTGGGCAAGCCATACTCCCAAGGGCAAGTGGATCCCGGTTTAACTTATCTTTTTTTCTTCACCTACCTCTGAACTTCTTCCAACTTTGAGTAAATGAATAAGGCTTCCTTTAAGCCTCTAGCTATATCTCCATGTATACGCAATAACCACATAAACATAAAATCAAGCAAGTTTGGTACGGTGCAAGTCGTGACCGGTGGTAATTTCACACATTGAGCTTATAAGGTTGAATCTAACAAAAATTGCTTGTAGGTTTTGACATAAGCACGGATTTCTCATATCATATAAATCCAAATACGTCATTCACTTTACCTCAATAAAAGTGTAAATATAATGTATCAAAGAATATTTGGTAGATGCTAATGTAATACGAAACATAACTAAAAAATGACTTTGACTTAACAATAATGCAATGTATTCTAATCTAAACGATGATGATTAAAAAAAAAAAAAAAAAAGTGGAGTAGGATTGTGCTCGATTCTCACTCATGTCTCCTCGTAAGTGGGTTAGTTGATCTATACGAATTAGATTGGTTGGTGACTCCAAACTTTTCATCTTAGTCACAAAGTTTGTTCACCTCTTCCTTAATTATATATATATATATATATATATATATATATATTTTTTATATATATATATATATATATATATATATATATATATATATTATATATATATATATATATATTTGGTCTTACCATTTTTATTTACTTAAACGTATTTTTCTTTCTCTTTTTTTAACTTTTGGTTGATTTGTCATTATTAGATTGGTTGATTCCTATATTCTTACCGTCCTTGCTAGTAGGTCAGACCGTTAGATGACGTCTTGATGATATCACATAATATTCGTTTTATACTTGTAAAAAAAAAATAAATAAATAAATAAATAAATAAATAAATAAATTATGGAGTGAATTGCTTATTCCTACTTGTAATTTAATTTTTGATTCACAAAAATTGTTTGTTTGTCAAATTGGGGAATAAATTCTTAGGCTATATTGTTTGTTTGTGTTTTATCTTTATGGAAGATGAAACCAATATTGAGAAACATTTAGCAACGAATAGTATAAAGAATAAACTAATGGATTAAAATTTATACAAAAGTTAGAGCATTCATCACCTATATCGTGAAGCTAATCAAGAAGTTGATTTAATAACTAATGTTGATCATATTTATTAGTTAATTTAATGATGATAGTTTGTATACCCTGTAATTATATTAGTTTAATTTCTATTCCTATCTTAATGTTTAATCTTTTCCTTACCTTTTAAAAAGAATCAAAAGTATAATCAAAACTCTAATAAAATACACATCCGAATTACAAAAATAATATTTACATGACACTGCAACATATGATTTCGACATAATATACTTGCATTCTATTGATGATCATGTTTATCTCTTGATACAATCCTTTTCACTAATCTTTTGACACAATCTTTTTTAAGGTGGGAATGAATGACAACATAGTATAATCTTAATTAAGTATAATTATAATTAGCAAATGGCAAAGGACGTTTTGGCTTAGAGGTATCACATCTATATTACATTCTCTCAACATACAAAAACCTTCATTCACAATTAGCTTTTTAGATCACTTGAACTGATTAGTGGTCACGTGCCAAAGATACTTGTTCTTTTCTACTCATAAAATCAACAAAGTTACTAATTGTTGCACCAAATCTAGTACATTAACACTAATTAAACCTTAGCTAGCTTCTTCTTCCTCTAGGGTTGGCAGGGAACATATAATAACTTCTCTTATAAGTTACTAATAAATTCAAATTAAAAAAAAAAAAAAAAAAAAAGTTATTGGGCGTAGTAGGTAGTAGTGTTATTTTATTCTGACTATTACGGCTACTAATATATGAATTAATTAAATTATCTTAATCAAAAATCTAATTGAAAAATAAACATGCATCATGCATGCATCAGTCAATTTTAGTGTGTGTGTGTATAAATTGTGAATCGGACAAATGAGAAAGAGCCACATTTTGCCTAGCTAACTTGTCATTATAATTTCTTTGTTTAGACATCAAAATCATTATTATCTAAGCTAATTAACCCTCTCATTATATTTTTGCTTTAAGCTATGGCCTTATTATTATTACCTCCTCCTCATGCTTTCTTCAAACCCTTCTTTCTCCTATGTCTTTTACTGTCGATTAACTCATGGAAATCAATCGCAGAGAACGGCCCAAAGTACATGTACTATCCTTTCATCAAAGAGGCTAGTGCGTTTGCTACACCATCAACACCATATGGAGGCTCATACTCATCGTCTCCATACGGTGGGAAATCGAGTTATGATTACATTATAGTAGGGGGTGGCACGGCGGGGTGTCCCTTGGCGGCCACCTTGTCACAACACTATAATGTACTATTATTGGAAAGAGGAGGGGTGCCCTTTGACAAGTTTAATGTGAGCTTTATGGAGAATTTTCACATATCATTGGCTGATACTTCACCGAGCTCGGCCACCCAACAGTTTACATCTACGGATGGAGTTATGAATGCTAGGGCTAGAGTCCTTGGTGGTGGAACTTGCATCAATGCTGGATACTACTCTAGGGCTAGCCCAAGGTTTGTACGTAGTGGTTCTTTTATCGTTCATCTAGTGTTCCCTGATAGTCAGTTTCGTAGGTAATTAACTAATTATAAATAAACTCAAGTAATAAGTTTAATAATTATTCAACGTGTTTTCAGTATGGCTAACCACACCGTGTGCCACGCACCAAAATACTGACTGGATAACCTCTGACCGACCAAGTAACCCCTAACCGATCGAATAATCCCTGACCAAGTAACCTCGGTCACACAGTGTGGCTACATGAAATTTTGTGTAATTATATACACATATAGCATTTATATGATTTATAGTAAGATACATACGGGGTGCCCCTCCTATCACAGGAGGGGTGGGGATCGAACCCTGCTCACACCGGGGGGAGATGGAGGGACTAACCATGCTTTCACTCCTTGATCCTCACATAAAAGCTTTATTATATAAATACTCGTGAAATTTTATTTTTTTTAAACCCAAAAAATTTAACGAAATAAATAAACAGGTTTTTTAGAATTGAATAATAGTGTGTATTTTGGAAAAGCATATATTGTATAAATCTACCCTGAAATCCTACTATAGGATCTTTGGGGTGGGGATTCTGTTATACCTATCAAATCTAATGAATTTGACCTGTAAAGTTGGAATAGGATTGATATATGTGAGATGTGACAGTTTAGTAGGGTCAATTTTCTTACCTTAAAGAGAGAGTGAGGGATAGCTCAAGTGGTTAGAGCTTATCTCCCGATCTCAAGAGATCTTGGATTGATTCTCATCACCTGCCTTTATGGCTCTCTAAACACCAAAAAGTTTTCTTACCTTAAAATGTAGCTTTGACTAAAATATTGCTTGTATGTTGATTATTGAACGTTGTAATATGCAGCTTTGTGAAGAAGGCTGGATGGGATCCGGACCTAGTAAATGAAGCATACCCTTGGGTTGAGAACCAAATTGTGCATGCGCCAAAGCTTGCGCCATGGCAAGCGGCAGTGAAGGATGCTCTTCTAGAGGTTGGAGTGTCACCATTCAATGGATTCACCTTTGATCACAAGTACGGAACCAAGATTAGTGGCTCGATTTTCGACCAAGAAGGTCGCCGTCACTCCGCTGCTGAACTCTTGGCTTCAGCTGACCCTGAAAACCTCGACCTCTACATCCATGCTACCGTCCATAAGATCAAATTTGATACTAACGGTACGTACCTCCTACAAAACTCTACCCAAAATTATTGACATTTAATTTTGTATGGAGTAATAAAAAAAGGTATACGCCGTAATTAAGGTTGGACAATTAACCTTACAAATTACAAAAGGACATCAAAAAAAAGTTATGGAACGAAATATAATAATAAACATTGCGCAAGTATTTTCTTATGCTGGCATTAAAAAGTTGACTCTTGTCCCTATTTACATTGCTTATTTATATGGTATCTGTTTTTTGGTTGCGGAACAAAGCTAGCGAAGAAAATTAGTTAAAGTTTTATGACTGATAAATTAAGTATCAACTTTTATCATTAGTTTCCATATAATTGAAAAAATATAGGAGAAAAGCCGAGGGCGGTAGGGGTGATCTTCAAGGATGAAAATGGAGAACAACATGAAGCATACCTATCAGAAAGAGAAGGAAGTGAGATAATATTATCAAGTGGGGCAATTGGGAGCCCTCAATTGCTTCTTCTAAGTGGTATTGGACCCAAGGAGGATCTCATTAACAAGAAAATTTCTGTTGTACTTGACAACCAGTTTGTAGGAAGAGATGTGCAAGACAATCCTCTCAACACCATATTCGTCCCTTTTAAGAAGCATTTGCAACAGTCTTTGCTTCAAACTGCCGGGATAACCAAGTTCGGTGTGTATTTCGAAGCTAGTAATGGGTTCGGTCAGGCCAGTAATAGCATCAAGAGACACAATGGTCTTGTCTCTGCTGAGGTTTGTGTTCATTTTCACCTCCTCTGATGTGCTTCCTATATTACCCATTTTATACCAAGAGACTCCTAAGTTTCTCGGTTTTGGTTGAGATTCAAGCTAATGTTGAATCCATAAACATTTATTTTTTCACCTGGACAGATTGGACAGCTCTCAACAATTTCTCCAGAGGAGAGAACAGAAGAGGCAATCCAAGCCTACAGAGATGTGAAACAAGACTTACCCTTTGAGGCCTTCATGGGCGGGTTTATCCTAGGAAAGGTAGCAAAACCCATCTCCACAGGTGTTCTGAAGCTTAACACCACAAACATCGACGATAATCCTACAGTCACCTACAATTACTTCAGCCACCCACAGGATTTGAGAAAATGTGTTAAAAGCATACAAATGATAGAGAAGATAGTCAAATCCAAACGCCTCGCTAAATACATAAACAATGACAATCTAACCATGGAGAAGTTGCTGAATATGAGTGTTCAGGCTAATGTTAACCTCATCCCTAAGCACACCAATGACATTCAGTCCTTACAGCAGTTCTGTAAAGACACTGTGGTCACCATGTGGCATTACCATGGAGGCTGCCACATGGGCAAGGTGGTAGGACCTGATTATCGAGTTCTTGGGGTTGATAGCCTTCGCGTAATTGATGGGTCCACCTTCAATGAATCCCCAGGAACCAATCCTCAAGCAACTGTGATGATGATGGGAAGGTACATGGGAGTGAAGATCCTGACGGAAAGACTTGGCGAAGGAGCTAATGTATAGAATTGTGTCAATAAGTACTAAAATTGACCTCTGGATACACTTTGAGTGAAAGATCTCCAGCAGTCCTGTATTTCTTGTTTTAAATTATTTTTTTTCTTTTTCATAATTTCCCTCATATATCATATAGAGATTTCTTTAGTCCTGAGTCCTTTATAATATATCTCTACTTTGCATCAACTCTTTCTTTAGTTTCTAAGTATACGTACTGGCTAGTATTTTACTAGTTCTTCTCATTTCTAAATTGCAATTAGGGGGATAATTTAGAGTGAAAATAAGCTCTAACTTTACATGGAAAGGAGAACAAAATTAGGATATGAAAATGAAAAACAGATTTCTTCTAAACACATATATCTAGAGAGAAGGTGATAGTTACAGTAACTAGTTTGGTATTGAAACCAAACGCTCAATTTAGAAGCAAAGATACATAGATCACAGTAATTCCTCATCAAAGAAAATATAATCTCACTAAAATGAACTTATTGATTTGGAAACTGAAATACTGAAGAACTTGTGTAAAAATTCATACCTCAAATCACAGCAACCTGAGAGAGCCACAGCATGCATAAGTCCCATTCCGTTGAGCTAGAATTCTATAACACCAAGGCTTTAACGGATGGTGATCAAAAGATTAATCAACAATATTTTCACACAGTCTACGACAGTATGACTCCAGGGTATTAATATCCAAGCATCTGCCCTTGCTCAGAACACTGCAGAAATTACTATTTAAATCCTTTTCCGTCTTATAAGTTCAAGGCAGGTTCTAAAAACTTCAGATTGTCACTTCTAGATAAACAAAACTTCTCATCTTATATGTATTGACAGTAGCTAAATTGATGACTAACTTAGTTTTCTTTATTCACTGCGATCCTGGCCAGAGATGTTCCTTCATGCTCCCTCTTGAAAGTCGGCCAAACCTCTGCCAGAATGATTTTTTCTTTCCTGATCCCAGAGGCCCAGAACTGCAATGCCTTCCTGAATATTGAAATTCACTGTCTGCAAATTCTGCTGAAACACTTGCCAAATCCACTGCCGATGATGGCAGCTTAGCATCACAACTTGATTCATACCCAAGGGGAGTATAATGAGTCCCAAGGAAAATTTGGAAGTCGGCTGGGATTTGACCACCTTTAATATCTTCACCCACTGAAACCTTTGCCTGGTTGGAATCACTCCCTGGTTCTTCCTCATTAGCATCGTTGATCTCACTACAAACAAGTTTTAAGGCCTGAACAACTTCTCCCATGAAGGGACGGCGGGATACCTCTGGCTGTACACACATAGATGCAATTGCTGCTACTTTGGAGAAACTGTCAAATGGAGCACTCGGCTTTAGGTTGGGGTCCATTACAATTTCCAATCCATCCTTGCTGGTGAGAAGTGGGAGTGCCCATCCTACTAGATTTTCTTGACCTGGTGGGTTTGAAAAGTCTACTGGTTTTCTTCCAGTTAACAGCTCCAGTAGAACTACACCATAGCTGTAAACATCGCTTTTGACAAGAAGATGCCCAGTCATTGCATATTCAGGAGCCAAGTAACTGGAAAATAAAACAAGTTAGACTATTAGGAATAAAATGATTTGAGTTTGCAACAAGTTTTTATCAGAATTTTAAAATTAGTCTTCTGTAAGTTAAGAATGGAGAAGAATCATATCAATAAATAAAACCATTAGAGAGAGTATTATACCCAAATGTCCCAATTACATGAGTTGAGATGGGTTGGTTTCCCTCGTTCAATGCATTTCTGGCTAATCCAAAGTCAGAAACTTTTGGCGTGAAATCTTGTTCTAACAAGATGTTACTGGCCTTAAAGTCACGATGTATGACACAAGGGTTTGAATCTTCGTGTAGGTAGGACAAACCTCGAGCGGCCCCAAGGGCAATTTTCATGCGGGTTGCCCAATCAAGTGGAGCAACAACTTCCTTGGCAACTCCTGGGATAAACATAATCATTTTTGACATAAATATTTATAAAATTATCTCAACTTAACACTAAATAGAATTAGATGTCCAAAAGGAAAACTTGGCTTTTACCATGCAAGTGGTATTCAACACTTCCATTTGGAACCAGCTCATAGACGAGGCACCGAATATGATCCTCTGTGCATATGCCTAGCAATTTAACAAGATTCTTATGGTGCAAACGGCTTAGCATCTCAACTTCAGATAAAAATTCATGTATTCCATGGCGTTTATCCCTCTTCAGGACTTTAACAGCCACTTGTTCTCCATCATCAAAGATGCCTCTGTACACTACCCCAAATCCACCTTCTCCAAGGATCCTCGAACAGTCAAATCCATCAGTGGCGATTTCAATATCATGAAGACTAAAGATTTTGGCAGACCCTGTGAAGTTTAGCATCCCAGAGCCAAAAGACAATGAACTACAAAGAGATTTGCTACCTACCGCCAAAGACCTAGCAGCTCCTGTTTCATCAGATCCAAAAACTGTATAATCAGCCATATACAAGTACAAAAACAATTTCCTGCCAAATGACTAAAAGTTGAATTCAGCATATATCATAATGAATTCTGAACAAATTTCACTCGATTTTCCAAAACAACATATGGTTTTTTTTTTTTTTTTTTTTTTGTTGTATTTCTAGTTAAGCACCTCAGGAGACCCAAGGTTTCTACACAAAGCAGAAAAAATGAGAGGATATCTACGAAGGCAGGCCAAAGGATAGCCAACAAAATGACACGAAAAAAATATAAAATAAGTTTCTATAAATCCCATCACAATTATCTTTGGAATTAAATTAAAATAGCGATATGACTATGAATAACTAATAACAGTACAAACTGAATTGGGGAGATAAATATTTAGCGAGCTTCAACATATTATACAGAAATTCATTATTATTTCTGGTACCTGATGGCTTTGTAAAGGAAGACACCTCAGTCATTAGAGCTTCTTCAGGATGAGGAACAGAACATCTACGTCTGGCTATCAATATCCATGCAATACCAGCACATGTAAAAAAAACTGTTATTGCAGATACTATTATCACAGCTCGCATGCTTCCATCACGACCACCAGTAGTTTGTGTTCTTGGTATATCAACTCCCCGAGGCTTTGATGAACTCCCACCATTGCCCTTAAAATTAGCAGGAAAGGGATGATCATCTATAGCAGCAAGATTTGAAGAAAGAGAAGGTGGGGAAGGTGGAAGACCTGCAGAGGGAGCAAAGAATAACACAAGTGAGACATTATACAGATTACTCTATTAATTTATGGAATAAATTTATCTTACAATAGTTCTATTAAATATTATTACTTTAGTCATTAAGGAAATTGAGCAGCTGTTAATTTGTACCATCAACAACGAGAATATAAGATAAAGAGGTCAGTAAATATCCCCAAGATGATGTCTAACCTGGATAGTGAACATCTAGCACATCATAAGCACCAAAGAAGTTGGGATTTACATGAATTTGTTTGTGCCAAAACTTCTTATACAGTGAAAATGCAACTGCATGTTTGAATTTTCCATCTAAAGGAACCAAGTTCACAAGAACAGTAGTTTTTTCTAGCTGCTGGCTTGCAGCATTTGCTCCCATGATGCGAACTTGACTCTGATTAAATGAAAGGCTTGATGAAATGTCTGCAGCCAGCTTAGAGACCAAAGGAAAAAATCTGTAGAGAGCAATATTGAGTCGCAATCTGACTTGCATTGGCCACACACAACCACAGGGAGATCCAGATGGTGTGTACGTCATTGGTTCCACACAAGTTATCGATGAACAATCTACAAATTCGATGAAGATAATCACCATTGAGATGGTAATATTCTACTTAGACAAGCACAAAATCAAATAGAGCCAGAAAGCTTAATAAATAGAAATAAATTTTTTTTTTTTTAAAAAAAAACATGTGATTACCTTGATTAGGAGGTGGAGATGGTAATACAAATGTCGAAGATGGAGGAGGAAACATATTTACCGAAGAACTCAAAGGAGAGATTGAGGGTGGCTGAAAAGGCCCTAGTCAACACAATGAAACAACATCAGTAATGTCGCTCTGTTAGCACATTACTGCTTAATTCATAATATAAATGTTTGATCAACATACCGAAAAATCTATAAATTTGGCAATTGTAGTTATTGATTACTACCAAGAAAGTACAAAAGAAGGAAATTGTAAATTAACTTATACTTCTACTAACTTTTCCAATCTATTGATGATGGTGCAGGCATAGGTGACTTCTGGCTTGAGGTTGAAGAGTAGGGAGACTGAGATGGAGTGATCTCGTGAGCAGGGTGCATAGCTGCCATAAGAATGCCAATAAGACATAAGAATTTATTGGTAGTAAACATATACAATGCAAGCACCTATATGCCAATTTAAGCAATCAGACAAGCAGCTGATTACATAAGCTCTGAGTTCGTGCCTTTAATATTTGAATGTGCACGTAAAGATTGTAAACGATTCAAGCCTAATCACCATGAGCGTTTATCACAACTAATTGTATACTTGTTGAGTGAAATTATTAATTCCATTGGTCATGAATAGTGATCTTTCACACTTGTGAAGATAATTTGCGAAGTATTGAATAAAAATTGCTACAATGTATGTAAAAAAGCCATAGCCGTTCAGCACATCTAAAGAAACATACATTGATAACCGTGTGGCAGAGGAGAAAGCAGGTTCGATGGTCCTGCAGTTGATTTTTCATCATGGTTCTTTGCATGATGATGATGATGATGATGATGATGTCCATGACGATGCTCAGAATATGAATTTTCATGGGAAGAACCCAAAGAATTGATTTGTTCCCTTGGGACATGTCGAAAAGGAGATTCAAAAGGTGGAGGGGAGGCAAATGTAGGACTATTAGAACCATGCAGGGTAGGAACTGTGACAAGAAATAACATTATGGTTAACTCCACAAAGTGGACAGGCAATAAACTCATGCCTAAATCAACACTCACAAAAGTCACAATTGTGAGCAGAAGTATATTTTTTTGAATACCTTTGCTAAAAGAATGACTCCTATGAGAAAAATAATTGAATGTGCTTTTATGAGGTGCTGCAACCGGATGTCCATATCTGGCGCTGCTGAAGCCAGGCGTAGCTGCTGGAGATACAGCATGGTCTCTTGCATCTAAAGCCAAAATAAGTTATTTAACATTTGTTACCAGAAACACTACGCGTAAACAGCATTTTTCAAATAAACTACTGAGCCTAGAAATGAAGAAGAGAATAATTAATTCA